TTCCTAGGTCACACACATACTCCAAATCTCTGAAAATGATGGAAGTAGGAAGAGGGCCCCCTCTGCTGATCTGAAGATTTTGCTTTGTCTCTGCACTGGATGTACATCTTTTTACTTGTAAAAGTGTGGAGTCCTGCAATTCAGGGGGTGAGGGAGAAACCCTACAGCTATCAAGACATTTTTGAAGACTTGCCCCAGTTCCTTTCTGGTCTGTATGGTGTGCCCTGCAGAAGAAAATTGCACAGGTACAGTATTTCTTCAAGCCAATGCAGAAAAGGCAGCCAACCCAGTGACTTAATGGCTCTAAATAGCCTTTGGCTTGAAATGCAGTAGTTAACTTTGGCAGCTTGTCAAGAAAAACATAGCCCAATAAGAAGAATATTTTAGCAGGCTGCCTAGGGAGAGGGTTTTTCCAAAATGCAAGTGGAACGCTCTGGTTTCATCAACAGGAGGAAAGAGGACTGCCTGTCGATATGTACAGAGCAGAGCAGTCGATAAAAAAAAAACATGGAAAAGGTTCCTAATCAATTTTTTAAACAAAATAAATTACAGGGGACATCACACAAAGAGCAGAGCACGATTCTAGAGGCCCACTCGTCTCTGCACCCAAATGTATGGGAAATGTAATGTTTCTACAGAAGTGCTTAATGTTCAAGGCATTACTCGGTGAATTATGCAGTCCTCACAGATCCCCCTGTGGGACTGGCAACAAGAGAACAGTCTGAGAATTCGAGGAATGACAACATTTTATTTTGCTGCTTTTCTTCTTTGTGTTCATCAGCTCTGAACTGGAGGGCTGCTCTCTGGTGGCCAAGTGAGGGATGTGCAATGTTAACCGTGGGGCTGTGCGCTGGGGAAGGAGGTTTGGTTTTTAACTTCCTCTTAGCCTCACCACAGAAAGCTAAAGGCCTGCAAGCAGCCAGAGACTGGGTTTGTTACCTCGTATAAAATGCCTTCTTTTGCAGATCCTAGCGCAGTGCCCCTTTCCGCTCTTAGAATCCTCCTTTTGGCCTCCTCGTTCCTCCACAAACCCTCCAATGTGGACAGCTGAATGCAAAATAGGTCAGGGCTCCTGCACCTTTCGTTGTTTTCTTCATAACTATTAAAGGTGCAGGAGCCCCTGTCATCTTTTTCACTTGACCCCCTACCTGGAAATACACGTGGCTCTGTCATTGTTATCACTGTTTTAAAAGAAAACCACCTTTTTGACATTTCTATTTCAGCCCGAATGTTACTAACTGCAGTGCTACAGGTTAATTGGTACAATTCGTTTCCAAGGATTGTTGTCATAATTAAACGCATCCTGCATTTTTAAACATGCTTTTGGTAAATCTGCAACCCCAATAAAGAAGAAACGCTAGAACTTGCTTCATTCTCACAGGCCCCTTATATGTTAATTTAACATGCTGGAATAGCACTAATTATTACAGCCTCCTGAATGTGTGGACCATACAGTGTGAATGCTCGTTCAGTGTCATGTGCGAACAGGTCTTGTATCTCCTTCTTTCTGAGGATCCTGGTATATCTGCCCCACTTCTACATGATTCTTCCTACCCAGGGGTGCCAACTTAAATAAAATATTGGGGGGCCACACCCCACATAATCTCTCACAAAACACAGCATGCACACACCATTTGAATGGCAATGCCCATCAACTTGGGGAGTGGCAGCCCCCTCAAATATTTTATTGGGGCCCCAAAAAGACCTCAGCCCCTAGGAGTTGGCTCCTATGTTCCTACCCCTCTCTTAGGGCTAGCCTTACCACTAGGTAACAAAAGGCAGCTCTCTGAGGGGGCAGATGGTGAGGGAAGACGTGTCGAATGACACAGGCCACTCCATATCTCCAAAGCTAGGCTGCTGCTCTGAGGTATTGTGGAGGATGCTGTCCTGTTGCCAGGATTTTAAGGAAGGTCCTATCTGCACTATGCGTACATTTAATGCAGTGACATACCAGTCATGGCTTCCCCCAATGAATCCTGGGAACTGTAGTTTGCTAAGGGGTGATGGGAGTTGTTAAGAGACCTCAATTCCCTTTCAGTGAGCTACAATTCCCAGAGTTCCATGGGAAGAGGGATTTATCGTTAAACCACTCTGGGAATTGTTGCTGTCCGAGTGAGGCATCATAGGCCAGACACAAAAGGAAAAGGGAATGGGGAGGGAAGCAGGCATTCTGGCTATGCACCCAGCATACATTCCCCCTCTTCAAAGCATTCCAAGAACTGTCGTTTACCCTTCACAGAGCTACAGTTCCCAGCATGCTTAAACTACAGTTCACATGGTAGACTCTGCTTTAAATGTATGGTATAAGCAGCTGACGAATAAAGTCCTTTGTGCATTAGAGAAGCAAATTCCCTGCAGTGGCTGCTTCTCTGGCCAGCACATTGGACTAGGCTGGTTTTTCCCTTGTCTACTATGTTCTCGGTGGGAGGCAGGGGGGCAGCTTAAGAGGTGCATGACTCACTTGCCTGCTTAACTTTTTCACCATGACACTTTGTCAGCTGAAACTCCCTGGGGGTTCATAGAGTGCATTACAGTAATCCACTCTAGGTGGGTTAACACTGAACTGAAAGTTTCATCTTGAAACCACCCCAACCCCCCACCAAAGAACCCAAGGATGTTGGGGACCAAAGGGAGGGGGGAAATGTCAAATATTTCATGGGGAAGAGGTAAAAAAACCTGAGGAACGTACAGGGGTGTTATTGAGGCAGCTTTTATTGTAAAGGGTCGCTTGGCGGCTGCTCCGAGCAGCGACAGCCGTACTTATCAGCAGTCCAGCCATGTTCTCCCCCAAAGCCTTGTGTACAGTGACACTCCTCATCCATTCCTGCTTTAAAGGCTGTAAAGTTGTGCAAGAAGAAGGTTTCACTAACTGAGTAATTCCAAGCCAATTCAGCATGATGCTGCAATGTTGTAGTTTCTGTAATGTTGCATCACTGTAATAAAATTTCAGGTGCTGATGCAACATTGCAAGGCTATACTGTACATGATGCATACATGAAATGTGAACACATGGAGTGCTGTCTCATTCTGTTGGTCCATCTAACCGAGTCCTGCCTGCTTCAGTTGGCTCCGTTGTCCATTTTTTGGGCAGTGGTCCTTCCCAGTCCAGCTCTCTGAAATTCCTTAGCTAGAGATGTGACGGACTGAACTGGAGACCTTCTGAATGCCAAGCATACATTTAAACTGCAGAAGAGCAAAATCTGTTTGCTGATAACCATGAAGCTTTTCACAGCAAACCATCAAGCCCTACAGCAAACATCTACATGTTTAAGCCTGGGAATTCTCCCTTCCATATTGAGATTTCCTTCCTTCTGTTGACATCCTTCCCTCTTCTGATGAAGCAACAGACATTAGCACACCATCTACACACAAGCAGCCAATAGGCTGCAGCTACACGGCAAGGCATTTCTTAAATCGGTGGTGGTAGGAAACTCACAGCCCCACAGGCCTGATTAGGCTACACTGGCTCCCAGTACGTTTCCGAGCGCAGTTCAGAGTGTTGGTGCTGACCTTTAAAGCCCTAAACGGCCTCGGTCCAGTATACTAGAAGAAGCGTCTCCACCTCCATCATTCTGCCTGGACACTGAGGTCCAGCACCGAGGGCCTTCTGGCGCTTCCCTCGCTACAAGAAGCCAAGTTACAGGGAACCAGGCAGAGGGCCTTCTCGGTAGTGGCACCCGCCCTGTGGAACACCCTCCCACCAGATGTCAAAGAGAAAAATAACTACCAAATTTTAGAAGACATCTGAAGGCAGCCCTGTTAAGGGAAGCTTTTAATGTTTAATAGGTTATTATATTTTAGTGTTCTGTTGGAAGCTGCCCAGAGTGGCTGGGGAAACCCAGCCAGATGGGCAGGGTATAAATAATAAATTATTATTATTATTATTATTATTATTATTATTATTCGGCTTCCCAGGCCTCCTCATTTGGCCCTCAAGACAATTTTGGCGAAGCCACGCCTACCTGCCCTACTTCTGACATCAATATAGTGTCACCTGACATCATATATGCCATCATATACTATCAGTGGCAGGGGTGCCAACCTGAATAAAATACTGTATTGTGGGGGCCACATAATCGATCACATGATCTAGTGCCCATCAACTTTGTGGGGCCTCCTCCCCCCAAATATTTTATTGTGGGAGCCAAAGCTTCCATGGCCCTAGGAGTTGGCTCCTATGATCAGTGGTGCCAGCAAAGCACTGGCAATCAGCTTGATCAGTGGGCCTTACAAAGCACTGTGTCTGATTCGAAGCCTGGCAGACAAAACCAGGTCATCTGACATCAGGAGGTTGGCGCGGGGGGGGGGCTTGCCAGCCTGACTCAGTTCCCCAGTCCTCTCTTAATTTAAGTGTGGAGAAAAAGTTGAAAAGAATACTGAGGTCCTCTTGTAGCTTGCGTTTGGTGTGCATCCTTCTTCCCCAGACAGGGATTTCCTTCAGGGGAGCAGTGGCATTCGTTTACCTCAGATCTTTGCCATGACACACCTGTCACTGTTCACCTTCCAAATTTTAATGCTACTTCGGTGATCACAGAGGCAGTGTGTGGGGGTGGGTGGGGGAACCCACTTTGTTCTAACATAACATGGAAGCTGGCTCCTTTCTTTAAAAAAAAAAAAAAAGGACGCCTGGACATGTCAGTGACTGTCGCCGCTTGCCGGCTTACTTTACAAAGACTGGCTTTGAAGTACTCTCACAAATTGAAAGAGCTATGTCTTTTAAATGAGAAAGTACAAACTGAACCAAAAAAGGAATGATCAAAACCTTTTGTCCTCACAGCCTGCTGGCAGCTTCTAGAGGATGTGGTGTCAGCCTAGCGCACCCAGCAGAACACTTGTTCGTCGTGGGTGAACTTCATGGAAATATTGTTTGCATTCCGTTACAAAAGGAGTTTCTTCGATAGAAATGGTTTGCTGGGGTCAGGACCAGTTGCAGCTATGAGATAAAACCTCTGGTATGGTGCCCTCTGGTGGGTCCTCTCCTATGTCAGTCAGCGGACATGAATGCACACACCACGTGGGCCTTCTTGCCAGCAAGCAGCCACAGTAGCAGCCCCATCAGTACTGTGGCATTTTGGAGTTACCTTTTACATTTCCCACAATGCCCTGGAGTGACGCTACATTGGGGAAAGACTCCAGAGCATTGTAGGAAAGGTAAATGGTGCCATACTGCTCAGAGTGTCACAAAAGAAGGGCCCCCATCAGCAATGGGCCTAGGCAGCTGCCCAGAAATGCCTATTGCGTCTTCTGATCTTGATGTGGAATTGCAGGTAGGCGAACTTTCTCTTAATCTAACCTCCGGTCAATGTGGGAAGACAGGAGATCGCCTAACCTGACAAGGCAGTGGGTGAGACACCAGCCACCTTAGCACCAGAGCAGAGGGCTAACATTTCGGATTTAAAAGTATAGTGGACAATGAGTAAGGAAAAGTAAAAATGAAACGTTGGTTGCTGTGCCAGCGTTTGCCTCTGCCACCTCCAAATGGGATGTAGATCCTGAAATGTTGCCCAGAAAGGATTGTGACTTTGAGCTGCTGAACATGAGCAAACACGTCAAATGACCAAGCTATTGTTATCAGCTGTGGGCAACAAGGAATTTGGTGACGTACACCTGCTGAAGTATTATTTATTTACTGAGCTATATCTTGCCTTCCCTCCCTCGAGGAGCCCAGGGAGGCAAATAGATACACAAGTTAAAAAGTTTTGTATTCACGGAATTAATATCATGGCTAGTTTAGCCTTTCCTTTTGTCCAGACGGGAGATATACTTCATTACTTTCTTACACTTGGTTCCTGTGGAATTATTGCCTTTTCTTTGTTCTATGTTCCATTATAAACCAACTTGTTTGCTTCCAACCTGACTGTTTAGACGTTATGCAAAGTGGGAATTGTCTTATTTGTTGCAAAAGGACTTCCCTGCATCCTTTCCCAGATCAGCTGAAGAACTGGAAAAATACACACCCATATATTTCATTACAAGGGCAAAGAGTGATTTTCCCATCTCCGAAAAAGAAAGAAAGAATTCACACTATGTCCTTTGTTTCTTAATATTCCTTCTTGAAAATTTACTTGGAGTTTGTACTGCCAAAGAGTATCACAGAACTATATGTCCAAACCGAGTAAAACATGGAGTGCTATCTAGAGCACACTATATCAGTCTGAAGAAATTGGCACTCCCTTGTGAACGCTACGTGTTCCTTTCTTATCTTGCTGGTACAGATCTCAGGCTTTTTAGTTTTCACAATGACATTTAAGTACATGTCACAGCCCTGTGGATAGTTTAGAAACAGGGTGGGGAAAACAGGGCAAGAAGGATTCTGATGTACTGGAGTTCAAGAACAAGGCAATTTTGCCACACATGAACACCAGAATTTGCTGTTGCTAAAGTATATCAGTATGTGGACAGAGAATCTACCATACCCAATTCCCAGGACTCCAGGTGGTTTACAACATGCTTCAAAAAAGTTACCATGTTTGTCCACCAACTTACAATACCACCATCCTCATCATTGGACATACTGTACAGCCCTCCCCAGGTACTGACTGCCAGACCCAAACTAAAAAGTCTGGCAATGCTTCCACAAGATGCTCAACTCTGGCAAGCTTCTAAGGTTTCCATAATTGTGGGGTGCTCCCAATAATACTTCTCTGTGTATCCTCAACATTTGGGCAGCTCACGGGTGGCATGGTGAGATGTCTGGGCCACAGGTGAGGAAGCTAGCCATTTTAGCATATTAGGCATTTAATGCTTTATAGAATACCCCCAGCACACTGATCAGACAAAGACAGAGAACAAGAACAGAACAGAACAGCACAAAACCCATGTGCTTGCAGCAGCCAAACTCTAGGGCCACATTCTGCACTAGCTGCAGCTTTTAAACCAGAGGTTGCCAGTGTGATACCTGGAGGCAGCAGTGTGCCTGCCGGAACTTTCTATGGTGCCTGCAAATTGTTGCTGGCATCTGCTTCAAGAGACAATGGAGAAGTGCACTTTTGGAGGCAAGATCAAGCTGTTGGACAGTTGCAGTACCTGCTGTGGCTGTAGATACCAATGTGGGAGAGACATGTTTTGTTGCAGCTGGGGCAGAGGAAGGCATCTGGTTGTGCTGCCGCAGATGCACCGTGGCGTTTCTTATCTCTGCGCTCTTCCCAGCAGTCATTTCTCCTCTGTTCACTCCTATGGGTACACAACTTGACTGCCAGTCTCTAGGCACTTCAGTTGTCTGCAAGGGATTCCCACACGGTAGGGTTGATGTTGCCAGCCTTTACGTTATGTTTGCAGACATATTTGTAGCTTACAGTTGGTCTGCCAATTGACCAGGTACCTGAAGCCAGCTCCCCATAGAGCAGGGGTCAGCAGCCTTTTTCAGCCGTGGGCCAGTCCACCGTCCCTCAGACCATGTGGTGGGCTGGACTATTTTTGGGGGGGGGAGGGGGTATGAACCAATCCCTATGCCCTACAAATAACCCAGAGGTGCATTTTAAATAAAAGGGCACATTCTACTCATGTAAAAACACGCTGATTCCCAGACCGTCTGCGGGCCGGATTGAGAAGGCGATTGGGCCAGATCCGGCCCCCGGGCCTTAGGTTGCCTACCCCTGCCATACAGCATGTCTTTGGGGATCCTGCCATCTTCCATTCTGTGGACATGATCATGCCAGCGTAGACGTCACTGAGACAGGCCTCAGTAAATCTCCCCTCAAAAATCTGCAGTGAACAAGAGACTGTTTATTCTTGCTGTTCAGCTCCTCTTTGTACAGGCTCAGCCTCTCCTACATTGAATATGTCCCCTTAAACATGCCCACATTTCATTGGATGCCAGGATCAGACACCCTTCCACCTGTTCTGAACAGAGTAGAAATGCAAAGAGCTTCTCTCTATGGATGATGGTGACTGATATATTTGCTTTTTCCTGCATCAATTGGAGCTGGGGATGCTCACAGCATTTTGTGCTCATCTCTTTTTCTGTTCTTGTAGATATGGCCGCCATTTTGTTCATACCCCATGGCAGCCATTTTGTGTTATGTCATTCCCTCATGGCAGCTGGCATTTTGTGGCTGCCACCCATTATGCCTTCTCAAAAATCCAAATTTGTCCACTGGTCCAAAGAGGTTTGCCACCTCTTATCTAAAAATTAATGAAGGGCAGCCCAATGTAGGAGTTCCCAGGACAGAAGGTAGATAAGCTCTCCATAAATTTCCTAGCTTTTGTCCAGAGTCTCATTATGGCATTCTTTGTACTATGAACACATAAACTTATTTTAAATCAAAATCATCTGAAATGTTCTTCAGTTAAATTGCTACCCACATAACACAATTATACATTTTGAGAGAAAGAAAGAATAAAATCTAAACTCCTACCCTTTAAATATGCTTCATTTTAGGTGCAGAAATGTGAGATAACTAAGCCAAGCAACACTGTCATGCTGCCTGCATGAACTGCACAAAATGTTCAGATCTATTACTTCTTTTCTTCTCCCCCTTCCTGACTAGTGGGATCCTCATGTGCTTGCTGTAGATCTGTGACAAAAGTCTAATAGAAAAGCGAAGATAAAGCCTGGACTTTTCAAGGTGAGACAAAACGACTCATGACCCACATCTTCAGAACCGCAGTTAATGGCGATAATGAACACTCCGTGGGACAGCAAGCATTTGAAACTGGATCAATTGCTAAGCAAACTGAACAGCCTAGCAAAGGGGGGGGGAGTGAGCATAATACTGCAGAATCTTCAATAGCACAAAAGAAATCCACACGCTTTGACAGCAACCAAACAAGTTTCTGGATAATGAAATTGAACATTTGCAGATCTTATCAGTGCAGAAAATGGATTATTGGGTGCGGTGGAGAGGTGGGCTCTGCAGATTTTAATTAACTAAAAAATTTGATTTGATTTGAAAAGCCTTATTTAAAATGGACATGAAGCTAGATAATAAAACAAAGTTTCAATATTTATTTGCTAGGTTCAAATAGGCTGCTCACTATCCTCAGTTTGTTGCAGCCTTGCTACAAACTCTAAGATCATAAAATTGTAGAGTTGGAAGAGACCCTGAGGGTCATCTTGTTCAACCCCCTGCAGTGCTGGACTACACACACACACACACACACACACACATTTGCAAAATGTGTACTTTGGATCTAACTTAGGTGTGAGGGAGTGCTACTCTTATTACTAAATGGAACTTATGGGTGAAGGGGAGTAAAACTCATCTCCATCCTGCCATACCTCCCTGGGCTGCACAGCTTTGATTACCCCCCACAGGCTTGGCTCTGGTGCCAGAAATGAATTGGTTTTGGGGGTAGAGAGTCTTCACTAAGCAGAGCTATGGGGAGATGTGGGGAGATAAGGCATGGGATCAACAAGCATATGTTTAGCAAACACAAGTCTGTCTGTTTGGGCTCTCAGAAGCAGGGCCAGATGAAGGCCTTTATTCAAAATATAAACAATAATAAACCATAAAATAAAAAAATATCTTTCAAAATGAAACAAAACCTACAGCAGGGTAGAAAATAATGTTGATGTTGTATACTTCCACTTTATATTTCAAATGCCGAGTTTGCAGTTTCTGCCAAGTTTTACTAAAGATTATTTAATCACTTCACCGAGTAGCGGGTTTGCAGCCGTGGTGAGCCACGAATCACAGATCCACCAGGCTGGCCACTACTTGTTATTGGCCACCCACTTAGTGTGGTAAGTGCCCTTCTCTATGCTATAGTTAGCATCATAGTTAATTCAGCTCTGGAGTAACTATGAAAGTCCCACTGCAAAGGCATGTGCCTAGCGTTCATAACTGGGTCTACTGCATGGTGGTGAAAGCAGCAAAAAAAGCCTGCTTTGCTGCTTCCTTCATGTATTTGAGTAATCACCCAGCAGAGCTCTTCAAGTTGGTGTATAGGCTATTCACACCTGTCTTAGTGGACAAATCTTAGAACACCTCAGAGACCTTCTGTGAGTAGCTTGCTGGACACGTTGAGGACAAAGTTGCTTGTCTCCATAGTGGGCTGGATGCCGCAACTGATGCAGTTCCAACTGAAGACTCCAATGCTCCATCAAGCCATGTTTTGTTGGAATCAGTTGCAGTTTTTGCAACCTGCTGACGATGAGTGGGTGCCCTTCTTGACTGGGTTACCTGGTTGACACCAGAGTGTGGTGAATATGTCTTTGCATGGGGTGATGGGGGCAGGGGCAGGGGCCTGCCACTTATAAATACTTCCACTTACAGACTATTCAAGCAGCCACAGAAACCTGCTTGTGTTTATTGTTGAAAGTGTCTTGCATTCCAGGGCTAGTTCTTGTTTCTGCTGGACCTTGATTTTCCCTGCTAGACTAGACTTCCTGCTGTGGCCTTACTTGCACCCTAGGGTTACAGCGTCCATCTGCAGTTCAGAGTTTGCAAAGACTTCTCCACAGCACCACCTAACTTCCTTCTATTAAAGACCACTGAAAACAAAAAAACCCTTCATTTTCCTTCTGTTAATTTTCTGTGGCATGAATTGCTAGTTACCATGGTGAAGAGTTATCATCATTAGAAGAGAAAGTGTGATCTGGGGTTTGCTAAGATGTAAAAAAACACACCAAAAAAACCCTTGGGTATTCTGCTGCTATATCAGACAGAATCCGGATGAATAAAATCATAAACCATTGCTGGTTATTTTGCTAGACGAAGCCAAATGAAAGAGCAATCCTTGTTCTCAGCACGCTACTGTAGAACCTCAGAGGCACAAGCCACTTTAATGTGTCATCACTGCATTGCTTCTTCTTGCCACTGACTCCAGATGGAGCCCAAGAGGGTTTGAGGGAAGATACAATTGGGTGAGGCAGAGCACAAGGAGAGTTAGGGGGAGAATGTGCGTCTCTGTAAAATCTTTCAATTGTTTAGGGGTGAGGATCCTGTGGCCTTCCAAATGTTGGAACTCACTCCCTTCAGCCAGCATGGACAATGGTCAGGGACAATGAGAGTCGGGAGTTGGAAAACATCTGCTGGGCTCCCAGCTCCAGGCCCCTGGCCTAGTTCCTGCACTTTATTGCAATTAAGCCGAAGTACATGTAATTAAAATCACCACATATTCTTCTCCTGCCTTCTCAGCTTCTATTTCCCCACTCCCTCTCTTGTTTCCCTGTGTCTGTTTTAGACTGGAAGCCCCTCAGGGAAGAGACCTGTCACACCTGTTCTTTGTAAAGTGCCGTGTATAATACTTTATAATAATATACTGGATCAACCCTTTTTGCTTACTCTGAAGTACCTACTAACACGCTCCCCACTTCTCCAAGTGGTGAGATGTTCCTGAGCAAGCTAAATATCCTTTGGAAGCAGTGTATGGCACATTTGCAATATTTGGGCTTATTTACAGGAATATAAGCTGAGCAGAGGTGGAGGCGAACTGTAGAAGGCCCTGCACTCCCCAGAAAAAGTGCTGGACGGCAACATGAGGATGCAATGGAGGTAACAAAGTATGCCTTCTTTGCACCACAGCTTAAGAAGAATATTGACAAACTGGGACGTGTGCAGCGGAGGGTCTGGAAATCAAGCCTTATGAGGAACCGTTGAGGGAGCTGGGTATGTTTAGCCTGGATAAGAGGCAATTGAGTTATGGTAGCCATCTTCAAATATTTAAAGGGCTGTCACATGGAAGATGGAACAAGTTTTCTCCTGCTACAGAGAGTAAGACCCAAACCAATGGCGTTAAGTTACAAGAAAGGAGATGCTGAACTTTATGACAGTCAGAGCTGTTTGAGAGTGGAATGGACTCCCTCAAGAGGTTGTGGAGATTTTAAAGAAGAGGTTGGTTGGATGGCAGCCTGCCATGGATGTTTGGGCTGAGATTCCTGCATTGCAAGAGGTTGGACTAGGTGATCCTTGGGGTCACTTCCCAATTTACAATTCTATGATTTTATGATTCAGTGAGAAGAAGAAACAGAAGTAACTGGCAAACAGGACTGATGACTTCAGCAGTTTCTTCAGGATTAGTAATGAGAGGCAGAAGGCAAAGTTCAAGCCAGAGGAGGAAAAGGCGAATGAGGCTTCCTGATGCAAGAGAAATGACAGAAGGATGAAGGAAAAGCAAGCTCAGAGTATGTGAGTTCTTCACATGATACAGAAATAATGTTTGACAAGCGGGAGGCAACACAAATCTCATTAACACCACAAACACAGGTTCACATTGTTGCATTTATTTATTTAAAACATTTAACTCCCTCCCTTCGGGGGGAAAAATCAAGGCATCTGAAAAATAAAGGAATATACAAACAGTATAAAAAATACAAAAAGTTACAACTTTTTTTAAAAAAACCACTGAAAAGTACCATTGTTGAAAAGAAAGAGGTGGAAGCCCAGCAGATCAAAACAATGAGAATAGCAGTTTAACACAGCAAGTCTTCAATGAAGATTCTCAACCATTAAAAGCCGAAAGCCATGCTGGAAAGGAAAGTTTCTGCACTCCCACAGAAGAACATAAGGAAAGGGGTGAGGTGGACTTTTTTAGGCAGGGTGTTCCTAGCACTGCTTTCTTTGTCCCTCATCCCAGTCAGATGTGAATTTTGGGCTTTTCGTGTTAATACATCTGGAATAACAAAATAACTCCTAGTTCACAGTGAAATTGCAAGTCGAACAGGCTGCCTTGAAAGGCTGGCTGACTCTCACTAAACATTTTTAAACAGAGGCTGGACAGTCACCTAGCATGAATACTGGCATAGTGGGTCCCCTGCATTGGTAGGGGGTTGGAATAAATGACCTCTGAGGTTCCTTCCAACTCAATGATTCTAAATGGGATTTACTGCTTGTGTACTCTGCCAAGATGCCTTGCAGGTTCTGTTGTTGGGGCAGAAAGAGCATAATAGATGTACAGTATTTTAACAATGAAGGAATTGGGCCTTTAGTGTTGTGGCATCTACCCATTGGAATTCCCTCCCATTAAATATTAGACAGTGGAGCTCTTTCTCAGTCTGCATATACACTGGAATTGTTTTCAGATGTTTTAAATTGTTTTATTGTTTATGTGTTTGCTATCCTGGGCTTTTGTGGGAAGAAAGGTGAGGTACAGACGAATAATAATAATAATAATATAAAATAAACAAGCATTTAAATGAATGTTTTGTGGCAGCAAACTTGCTTAGGCCCCTCAGCCTGCTCCATGTTGAAGGTGGAAGTAAAGGGGGAGGTGGGACATGTAAAAAATGCTCATACCTCAAGAATCTTCCCTCTACTTTGGGGGATCTGCTGCTGTTTGATCACCTCCTGTTTTTGCACCCCGAAACCAGAAGCAGCATGCCCACTTTATTCACAAAGGAATGATAACCTCCACCTTGCCCATAAGCATGCGCTACAAGGGTGGGCAGGAATTCTACTGCTCTTTACAAGAGCCATGCAAATCTGAAAGTTTGTATCCCCCTATATGAGCCTGCCTGGGCTCTGGGATTTTTTGGCCGAGACTCTCTCTTGGTCCAGTCACCTTCACATGCACACTTGTTAAGGATATGAGAAAGGGCCTTCTCGGCTACTGCTCCCAGATTGTGGAACTCCTCTCCACAAGAGGCTAGGCTGGCCCCCTCTGTTTTTCTTTCACTAGCTGATGACTATTTTGTTTAGGACACGCCTATGGCCACTAACAGGCTATTGTGGCAGAGTATTCTGAGTGTGGGTGATGTATATTTCCTTTTTGGTTTGTTTTTAAATGGTTTTAGGTGTTTGATGTTTTAATAGAGAACTTATTTGTGTGTGTTTTAAATTTTTATATTGATCGGTGTGCTTTTAGCTTTAATATGTCTATAATTTCATGATAGGAGATAGGCAGGATATGAAATAAATAGATAAATAAATAAATAAATAAATAAGAGGTAACTCATCTATTTTAAGAAAGTAGAATTATGCTGAAGCCAAACAGATCAAGGTTTGGTCAGCAGCTAGATGGGAGCTCTCTGTTTAGTGTACCATATTGAATTCTTGGGATACCAATGTAATGAATTAACAGGTGTTCATCCAGTGTCTCATCCAGCTATGTCAGGATCCCATCACAAGCATCTGTCGGTGATGGTAAACTTCAGATACACAGAATTTCCTACTTCAGGGCAGAAAGATTTGGAGCTGATATTGGAGGTGGGGGGCAGAAACAACCACAGACCTACCCTGTTTAACCCCCTGCAAGCAGGAATGTGCACCTGTCCCATATGGAGATTGAACCTGCAACCTTGGTGCTATTAGCAGCACACTAGTCTAACCAACTGCGCTATCCTGGCATCCGTCTGTCTCAGAAGACAATGGAGGAGTGCACCTTTGTGGGGTAGGGCTATCCCAGAAATTGTATTTTCAACAGAACAGTCTTTCATTCTGAATTTTAACTGCTGCAAAGTCATTTTGGTAGCCAACCTTAGCTGAAAAGCTTAACTATGACAGCAACAAGGACAAATGATCTACATTTTAATGGTGGAAACAATGTCAGTGTCTAAACTACTGAGAGTAAGATTCCCCCCTCCTTCAGTTTACTTTTTACCAGCAGCACAGTAAACAACCACCAGTTCTTCCCTCTCCCCACCAACTAAACAATTCTTTTCTGTTAAAAAACACACACACCCATCTCTGCGTATGCGTTCATGAAACCTGACTGTCATGCGCCCGTCTGAAGCGTTCTTTACGAAAACGCTTGCTATTCGTAGACCTGTAAGAGCCTGCCACTCCCCTTGCGCATGCGTCTTGTACAAAGGTTAATGGCCTGTTTTTTAACCGCAAGGAAGCCAGCAGCGCATGCGCTCCTTCTTTCCTCCTTACCGCTGCCCTCCCCACCGCCAGAATAGTCCTGCGATCTAGCCGCCTATTCTCTCGTGCGCCTTCCAACTGCTCATGAGCAACCTATTGCCCAACCCCGGGCACCTTTTCGTAAGCCATGGCGTCAGACGCAACCGCCACGCGCTTCTGCTCCGCCCCTTTCCTCCTTCCCTTTTTCTCCCTTTTGTGGCGGCGCGTGCGCGCCGAGCCCTTTCAGTGCGTGGCGAGCTGTATGGTAGAGGCGGCTGGGGGCGGGGCTTCTATATATAGTGCGCGGCCGGGGCGGCGGCCTCCCCCTTGTCCCCCGGCCGCTGAAGGTGCTGTTGTGCGTAGTGTGTGTGCTCCGGCCTTCCCCGGGCACACCAGCTCCGCCGCACCATTTATTACTAAAAGAAAAAAAAACCTTTAAAAATCCAAAAAAAATCTTAAAAGCCCGAAAAAACCATTAAAAAAAACCCCCCTCGACTACCACCCGCCCCTATCTGAAACCGGCCGGTTTGGTATAAAATAACCCGGTGAAGCGAAGCGAAGTCCCAGACCCGGCGCAGCCGAGAGGAGACCCGCCCAAGCCACTACCAAGAGCAGCAGGAAGAAGAAAAAGAAGAGCCGCCGCCGCTTCCAGGAGCAGCAGCAGCAACAACCCGCTCCTCCTCCTCCTCCCGCCGGCAGCAACGAGCGCTCGAGCGGCCCGCCAACCGTCGCCAACCGCCTCCGCGGAGCCGTTGAATTTCGAACCCGGCGGCCCGTCGCGGCCTCCTCGGCGCTCGCGAGTCTGCCCTGCCTCCTCGCCCCCCCTCCCCGTCCCCCCGCCAGCATGAACCCCAGCGCCCCCAGCTACCCGATGGCCTCGCTCTACGTGGGGGACCTGCACCCCGATGTCACCGAGGCCATGCTCTACGAGAAGTTCAGCCCCGCCGGGCCCATCCTCTCCATCCGCGTCTGCAGGGACATGATCACCCGGCGCTCCCTGGGCTACGCCTATGTCAACTTCCAGCAGCCCGCCGACGGTGAGGAATGGGGAGAAGCGGGGGGACGGGACGGGGGAGGGCAGAGAAGCTGCCGTAGCTGGTCGGGCGATTGATTCCCTTATTTTACCCCCACACTTCGAGGAGCGGGCACATGGGGAAGGAGCGGGTGGGACGGGGACACGTGCGGGGAGGGACGGCGGCGAGGCATTTCCAGGGACTTTCCGGGCGGAATTTGCCCGGTCTTGGGGGTGGGGGCTTGGGGGAGGCTGCCCTCCCGGCCTCCGGCTTCCTGTTCCCGGAGCCATATTCTCGCACCCCCACGAGGGCCGCCGCGCATTCCTCCCCTTCCGCTTCTCCCCGCCTCCTCCACGCGAGTCATCCCCGGAGCATCCATTTTACGGATTAAACGCGGCCCCTCGGAGAGTCCTGAGCCTGCCTCGCGGCGGCGCTTCCCCATAAGTCTTTTCTCTCAGAGCCCCCTTCTCCCCGACCCCGCAAGGACTCGCCCTCCTTCATGTGAAATTATCGAACATTTCTGTCCAGAGGGGGAAATAACTGAGGGTTGGGGGGGGGGAAACACTCGTGTGAGGCCAGCTTCTCCACCGCGTTGTGGAGGAGCCGGGAGAGGCCTCGTGGCGGGGAGGAGCCCCCGCGGCACCCGAGCGGGAGGGAGAAAAGGAGGCCTCGTCATCGGCTGGGCCTGCTTTTTTGCCACGGGGCCTCCTTCCGCGAAAAGGCCTGGGTCGGCATCTCGGACCCGGCCCTAGTTTCTCGGATCACGAGGCAGGGCCCTTAAGTTGGCGCGGGTGGAGTTGGGGGGGGGGAGTCCGCGACCAGGGCGGGCCTGTCGCCTCGCTTCCGCCGGCTCAATGAGGAAGTTCGAGATGAGAGGCGCCTTGAAGGAAATGCCTGGATAATTAGGGCCTTAAATGGCGACGGAGGAACGGGCGCAAGTGGGTCGTGTGCCCGCGCGAAATAAAACTAGGGCAAGCCACGCTTAATTAGAAGTTTCTGAATTGGGCTACTTGGTGCCCTTTGGTCGCGGGTACTAATTTATCAGCCTTGCATGTAATGAAAAATCCAACAAATTGGCGTGGGGGGGGGGAGTCGATTGTCCACAGACAGGACAGGAAGTTGCAACACCCATCCCTCTTGCTGGTAAACGGAGTTTTAAGAGCCCAATATTGTTGACCATTGCTGATGATGAGGGGAAGGTGAGCATTTGCCCAGTCAAGACACCAGAAATGGGAAGGGAGTGGGGTCTTTAAGACACTCTTTCCTAAGCCCATCTGCTAGTCTTACCTTAAGGCCGACACTTTGAGAGCAGGTGGCCTGCAGTGATACGTAGAGAAGAATTGCTTTTTAAATTTACCTTTGATGACTTGAATCAGCTTAGTTTCTATTAAATGTCAGACAGTTGTGATAATTTTTTGAGGACACATTGGTCCTACACTAAATAATGTCTGCCTTGACAGCTTATTGCCAAGTTGCATTAGAGCTCTTATCTTTAAGTGAGAAAAATGGGAGAGTGCGTACTTTGGTCCTAAGTTTACACACTTGACAAGAGTAAGCCAATTCACATACATGCATCTAAACTGTGACCAGGAGTGAGCTTACTTGTAGGTATTTTTCTCTAAAGTATTTTGCTATTTTTTTCTATCAGCTTCAAAATAATTTGTCCTTTCTTCTTCTGGGTGATCCATTCAACCAGAGTTCTAGTAAACTCAGTGTAAGAAGTATTCTACTGAGATGGAGCAGCATGTTTTCTTTGTAGACTCTAGTAAAAAAAAAAGACATTTGTAAATTCTTCAAGTGATGCGAAGAAACATGTTTTCAATGACCAATATTTCTGAGTTCACAGAAAACTTGTTTAAGCAAAATAAACCTCCTTTGGAGGGGAGAGCTCTTCAACAATTGTCACTATTCCAACATAAATGCTAGAATGAACACTGCTAGAAAGGACACTGTCTTTTATGCTTTTTAATAATTTGAATAAGCATTCCAGTGGGGGAGGGTTACACTTTTATAGTGACTACACACTTAAAGCAATGTTGCAAACAGGATCACAAGGAATAGCCATCCATGCTTTGCTCTTTGCTGAATTCTAGCTCCTTATCCTTATCCTTCATTACGGGATGTAAGCATGGAAAGGGGCTATGCTACAGCAGTGCTGTGCTGAGCTGGCAGTTCTCACAGTGCAATCTGTGCCTAGAGAGAGACAAGCAGAGCTGTTGTCTCAGCGCTGCTTTGTACAAAACAGAGATGACAGCCTTGGCTGGCTCCGTGTCCTAAGGTGTACAGAAAGCTTTGCAGAGCCATTACCTTTGCATCCCTCTCTCCACCAGAGGAATAGCCAACTGTCAGAGACTGGCTATTTTTTCCAGCGGGTTGTTAGCTGGGGCTTGCTATCTGAGTTGAAGATTCTGCCTCTTTACAGAGCAATAAGCTTCTTAGGCAGAAATGCAACTTTTAACTGGGAGTCTCCACTCAAGCTTTTTCAATCTGCACAGGTATTTGGTTGCACTGCTTGGCTAACTGAATTCATAGCTTGGGTAGTTTGCCATTCAGATGCTTACCTAGAGACAGTTGATTTACAGGATCATATCCAGGAATCATGACATAGGATTTGTGATTTAACTGCTTGCAGTAATTGTGGAAGGTCAGTAAATACAGAGAAAAGGTTGTAACAGCATGGACTTCTACAGATAGCTCCTCTTTAAATCTTAGCACATCCAGTTCCTAAGGCTGCCGAAAGCTCCTGGTAATGCTTGAATGAGCTGCTTCTCCAGTTGTTTCATTGCTCTGAGCAGGGACATGGGTGGGTAGGGAAGAAAGGTGCCACTTGGTTCATAGAGCCTAACCAGACATAGTTTTCCTGTTCCTGACAGTTTGCCCCTTCCTTGCCAGGTTAATTTCTGAGTTTGGGGGGCAGGGAGTCAATGCATGGATCTGATATGTAACCCTATTGCTTGTTGGCAATCTTCATGCCATTAACAGACTTGGGAAGCGGCATTATACTGAATAGGACCATAGGGTGGTGCTGTCTACATATGACTAGCAGCAACTCAAGCTGGGGCCATTCCCAGTTGTAGCTGGGGCTTCAACCTGGGAACTTCTGTTTTCTATGGCTTTTCATCATAGTACTCTGTCTCAGGAACATTCTCATGGATAAGTCGAAATGTTGAGCTTCCACTCTGAAAAGTGCAGTATCATTTGGGATTGGGAGAAGTAACACACTTGAGGGTTGAGGATTTCTCTGCTAACATCATTTTGGGACCATGCAACAGAACTGCAGAAAGCCTAGAGGCACAAGAATAGAAAAAGAGGTTTGATGGCTGTGTTTATGGGACTGTGCTAAAATAGTGCTGAAATTCACTTTTGAAATACATTTAAAAGTGAAAGCTTGCGGGAGAGAGGTTCTATTGTACAACCAAAAATCCTTGCACTAGCAAAACTGCTTTACTGAATATTGCCCATTGTCTTCTCCTTGGAATGCTTACCCTGGCTCCAATTTTTACCCCATTCATTGGAATTGCACTGCCTTTCCTGAACATCACAAATTAGAACAAAGATATTGTATATTGTAAGTGGGTGCAAAGACATTAACAATTAATTTTCTTAGTGATATCTATGTGATATTTGTGTTGCCTTAAAGATTTAAATAATTTAACACTTACTAACTTCTTTTGCAGCTGAGAGAGCCTTAGATACTATGAATTTCGATGTCATTAAAGGCAAGCCAGTGCGTATCATGTGGTCTCAGCGTGATCCATCTCTACGTAAGAGTGGTGTCGGAAACATCTTCATTAAAAACTTGGATAAGTCAATTGATAATAAAGCTTTGTATGATACATTTTCTGCTTTTGGAAACATCCTCTCTTGTAAGGTGAGTTGAAAGGAAAAAGAACCTAGAACAGTGATTCAGCCTTGAAATTAGCATAATTACATTCCAGTCATCTGACGTATCCTAATAATTTTCATAGGTTGTATGTGATGAAAATGGATCCAAAGGCTATGGGTTTGTACACTTTGAGACACAAGAAGCTGCAGAAAGAGCTATTGAAAAAATGAATGGAATGCTGCTTAATGATCGTAAAGTGTGAGTTTCCTTAACACTTAAAAAAAATGTTAATGCCGAAATGAATTTAGAAGAGAGATTTTATCAATTATAGTTTCTTGCTTGTTGTGTTGGTTCAGTAATTGGAAATATATGTTCAGAAAACAAAAGGGGGGAATTATTTCATTCATTGCACAGGAACTGTGAGAGCGACAGTATGTCACAATTGGGGGCAGTCATAGCACATTGCCATGTTTTTTCTGGCTGGGGAAGCACAGCAGAGTAGTATGGCTGCCCCATTCTGAACAATCTGTCTTCCATGACAGATAGAGAGGCTGGGAGTAGCTTACTCTGCTGTTTCCCTTACCGGGGGAATATTGCAGTGTGCTATGGCAGCAGCTCGCTTGCCAGGAGCTGACACAGGGTATGGGTAAGCACCAGGCTTTTACTATATAAAGTACCTCCTTAATAGAAAGAAAATAATGCCCTGAATCTTTTCAAATTTAAGCAGCTTTTCACCTTGCTTTTTTAACTAGGTTTGTTGGAAGGTTTAAATCTCGTAAAGAACGTGAAGCAGAGCTTGGAGCTCGTGCCAAGGAGTTCACTAATGTTTACATCAAGAATTTTGGAGAGGACATGGATGATGAGAGACTTAAGGAACTCTTTGGCAAGTTTGGTAATGTCATTTCCTTTCCATGTATTTGAAAATGATTTAGGACCTGGTGTGATCATAGTGCTTGCACCCAACTGCAGCTTGCCTACCCCAACTCCTGATAACAACCTGCTTTATACAGAGTCGGGCTATTACGGTATTAACCTTTTAGCTGTAGATGGCAGGAACTGAGACAGGCACCGTCTGCAACCACTTGTTTGTGCCCTTCTGGAGTGCAGATTCCTGCCATTGATTTCAACCTATATGTGTTAGGTTGGCAGCACTATTGATTGCCGTTGGAACCAACCAGAGCTTCCTCTTAAGGATTTGAAACCAAGGTTCCAAACTGGCTTCAGATCCTTGGAAATCTGAAGATCTTGGCAATGTAACATGTAAGCTCTGATAAGGCCAAAAACAATAGTTTGCTCTCAAGAACAGAAGTATTAAGGGGAATACGTGTGATAACACAGCTGCTTGTTTGTTGTCATCTTAACAATTGGTAAGTTAAATAAAACAAGAAAAATCATTACATTCTTCTACACTGAAATTAGCCAAATGATTTTATGCAGGGCAGAATAAAATCTCTAATGTGTGTACTTTAATCTAGCACAATACCAAAAGCAAGTTTACTGTTGGGTTAGTAATAATTGTAAATTATAGTCTGTTCAGTCCATGATTGCAATGTTAATTTTCTTTAAGGAGTTAATATTGTAGTATGTCCAAGAAATCAAGGCATTCATTATAAAATGAGATCAACAAGGCCAACCAGAGTCTGACATGGCCATGTAATTTGTCAGACTACTAATTTATAACTAGTTGGGAAATTAGTCTCCCAAATGGGTAGCCTTGGCTACAGTTGTCAGTTTATAAATATTCTAAGTTAAAGTGTTGTCTGCTGAAAACAAGCCTTTTTAGAGAATTAATTTGAATCGTTGGTCATTTGTGCTGTATTTTATTATTTAAAGCTTTTATTATACACTGCCATGATACCTTTTAATGATGTGGTATATTAAGATTATTATAAAGAAAATGTAAAATAAAATTTTTGTACTTTTTAGGGCCTGCCTTAAGTGTGAAAGTTATGACCGATGAGAGTGGGAAATCCAAAGGCTTTGGCTTTGTCAGTTTTGAAAGACATGAGGATGCTCAGAAAGTAAGTCTATACATTTTATAAGAATTTGTCAAGTGTTGTGAGTGGTCACTAATTAACTAAAACGAATGGTTTTGGACACTCTTAAACAGAAGGTGCCTAATTTTAATTTTTATGTATCTTTATATTAATTGATTCTCTTATAGATAGTAGGTTTTCTAAAATAGGTCTAATAGTGATCCAAGGAATATTAATCTGTCCTCTAAATCAAGCGAGGGAGCCTTTGGCCCATGGTTTGCCAAGTTTCCTCATTTGACCAAACAGACCTTTCCCAAACTGCCCATCTACCCCACACCTGATGTCAAATGTGATGTCAGGTGTAGGATAGGTAGAGACGGAGCTGGATCCAGTGATTGGAAAGCAGGACTGAATTCCCTTTGTTTCAACTGCAGCATAAAGGGTTCACTCTTGCTTAGTTCAGGAACTCAAATGAGTTCTCTGGAACCTGCTGATTCCCCTGAACCTAACAGAAAGCTGGATGGAACTCCATGTGCATCAGCAGGTCCAACCAATCTACTCACTCATTTGGTTCAAATTTGGGCATTATGACATCAGATGATAGATAAATAGTCCCGCCCACCTGTCAGAGTTGGCTCACAGGGTGAGTGAGGTGCAGATCTGGCCTACTGGACCAAAACATCTCCCCAGTCCTGCTGTAAAATCTGTTGCCAAGTTACTTCTTCATATAGTGTTCTTACAGTGTATTATTCCCTCTCATGTGCTAGGAAGATAGAAGCACACTGCCTCAGTCTGTACATTCCATCTACCTAGTTTATGTGTGTTTAGATTCCTTGTTTTTTTACTTGCTCTAGCTTTTTGATTGGGGGACCTGACTTAATGCTATGTGGAATCAACTATGACAAACAAGTTAAAGTACCTTTTTTATTTGTGAAGGCTGTAGATGAGATGAACGGAAAGGAACTCAATGGAAAACAAATATATGTTGGTCGAGCTCAGAAAAAAGTAGAAAGACAAACAGAGCTGAAGCGCAAATTTGAACAAATGAAGCAGGACAGGATCACCAGATACCAGGTAGGATGTTAATTGAATATTTGGGGGAGGAGAGGTTTATTGGTGTGAGGGGGGTTCTTGTTTTTATTAAGTATTTTGTGGTTTTTATATGGTATTTTTATGTTGTGAACTGCCCTGAAATCTATTGGTGAGGAGTGGTATACAAATTAAATAAATACAATTTTTTTAAAAAAAATAATCACTGGGTTATATGTTCTGCATACTGATTGCTTCACCTACTCAATATTTCAGGGTGTAAACCTTTATGTGAAAAACCTCGATGATGGAATTGATGATGAGCGCCTACGCAAAGAATTTTCTCCATTTGGTACCATCACTAGTGCAAAGGTAAATGGCATTTTAATCGGCTTTTAGAGTGACTTGTAGGGAGAGTAACTATCAAAAACTGTTTTTAGTGGTACTTTAAAATTAGAAGCTTCTTCTCATTGCATCTACTTGAAAGTAGATGCAATACAGTAGATACAATAAATTCTATATACACATCCAGATTTGTCTGCAGCAGAACAAAATCTATGCTGTTAGATTTTCAAAAGCGGTTGATCGGCTTTTATTTTAAAACTTCAGAGAAATGAATGTAGAGCCAGGTTTCACTGTTGTGAACAAAAAGGCACATTCTGTCTACAGGAGGGTTTTGATTTTCCACTGTGGAAAAGTGGGAAGTGAGTTTTGTTGATTCTTCCCTCCTCTCTCAGCACCATATCCTACACTTTAACCCTCCAAAGCGGGGGATTCCGAGGGGGATGGGGGAATCTGCAAAAGTTTCCTTAATTCTGCTGAGAGAGGCATCCCCTGAATGAAAATTCCTAGGTATGCTTCTGGCAGCAAAAAGAAACCTAACACATGATTAATTAGTTAGATTATGTTCAGTCACAAGCTGCAATAGAATATAATGAAATAACATTGTTCAGTGTTCTCTAGGTTGCATTTTTACGGTTGCATTTTTATTTTATTTTTACAGGTTATGATGGAAGGGGGCCGCAGTAAAGGATTTGGGTTTGTCTGCTTTTCTTCACCAGAAGAAGCAACCAAAGCAGTCACAGAAATGAATGGTAGAATTGTGGCCACCAAACCACTTTATGTAGCCTTAGCCCAACGTAAAGAAGAACGCCAAGCTCACCTCACCAACCAGTACATGCAGAGAATGGCAAGTGTGAGAGCAGTGCCGAATCCAGTCATCAACCCGTACCAGCCAGCGCCTCCTTCAGGTTATGTCATGGCAGCTATTCCACAGGTATTACTTACACTGTGTTCCCTATTACATTTACTCTTATATTTACTGAGTACAAATGCGTACAGTTGCAGTGGACTTACTTGACACATGGTGTGTATTAAATGAGCTTTGAGTGTAAAGATTTAAAAAGCCCAGATTCTTCTTCTATAATAAAGAATAATGAGGCATTTTAATTTGAATGGAATAACTGTTAATTTCCTAAAGCATTTTTTTCTGGTACAGCAAAGCACTGAAGCTGACAAATGAAACAAATACATTATTAATTTTTTGACAGATGCAAAACCGTGCTGCATACTATCCTACTAGCCAAATTGCTCCGCTCAGACCAAGTCCTCGCTGGACTACTCAGGGTGCCAGACCTCATCGTAAGTGACTTACTTTTCTTAGGGATTTGGGGGGGAGTTTGGATTTGACCAAAGCTTGATTTGTGTTGGTTCAGAAATGCATACTTACCGTGAATTAATTTCAAATGCAGCTTTCCAGAACATGCCAAGTGCCATCCGCCCAGCAGCTCCCAGACCACCATTCAGTACCATGAGGCCAGCTTCATCACAGGTTCCACGAGTAATGTCAACACAGCGTGTTGGTGAGTTCTGGAGATCAGTTATTTTAAGTATACTGGCTTGGTTGGGCATGCTGTTAATTGTCTGAAAATTGAAATGTAATGTGTTTTTAAAAGAGTGTCTTAAGCTAGACTGTGAAAGGAGGTCTGCCGAAAGAGTTTGAATAGAATATGCTGCTTGGCCTGAAAACAGTCTTTTCTTCCAGCAAACACATCAACACAGACAATGGGTCCACGTCCAGCTGCTGCTGCCGCCGCTGCTACTCCAGCCGTACGCACGGTTCCTCAGTACAAGTATGCGGCAGGTGTTCGCAATCCTCAGCAACACCTTAATACACAACCTCAGGTTGCTATGCAGCAGGTAAGCGTAACAGTTATAGCAGCACTTTTGTATGGAGTCGGTTATATTAATAGCCAGCACTTGCAGAATTGGACATGCCCAAGCCTATTGAAAACAATAGGGTTAGGTGGACTTGTATGGGGTTAGAAATAGTTTTTCTGAGTGACAACGCAAATGTAACTTGGAACATACTTCACAAATTATGTACTCCCATTTTAATCCTGTTAAATCTTTTCAAATTCTAGCCTGCTGTCCATGTCCAAGGTCAAGAACCTTTGACTGCTTCCATGTTGGCTTCTGCCCCTCCACAGGAACAAAAGCAGATGTTGGGTAAGTCCGTATTTGGCGGAGAGGTGGGGCTCATGTTGTAAGAGTTGGGGTGTCCGTGCATGGGGGAGGACAGATAGCAGCAGCACCATTTGGCATGTCTTCCTGAGAAGTCCAAAAAGTTAGGGCTGAGTCCAATGACCAATGAGGGCTGGGGAAGTACTGTTGCTGCTTCCTCCAAATAATTGTGCAGTAGCACATGCAGTGATAGGTGGGCTGTTCAGCAGTTCAGAAATCATCTTTGGTTATAGTTTTTTTTAATGTATTTACCCCAATGTAAGTGTGCTTTTTGATGCAACTCTGCAGGGCCAGGATTTCTAGAAATGTAGCTCTGGGATTGCTTAGGAAAAGTGGGTCCACTACTGAGGGCCCAGTTAACTCTGAAGGAAGGAGAAAAGAGGGTATGGAGGATCCAGGGACTGGGGGAAAGAATAAATCTGAAGAGTTTAGAAGCTGGGTGAGCGAACTCCCTGAGTGTGTTAGGGTGGAAGAAGGTATAATTGGAGAAAGGGATGTGATTTCATAACCTTACAAATTATTAAGTTGATAATGGGCATCTACTATTAGGATCTGTGTTTTAACCATAAATGTCTGCTTGGCTAATGATTATAGTTTTCCAGTTCTAGTAACTTAGTTGGGTTTATTCTTTTAAAAAAACTTCTGCCATTCTGCTAAAGGGGTAAAAAAATAATGATATGTAGATGGCTAACGTATTCATTTTCAGGCATGTTAAAAGGAAATCTATTTGGAATAGTATTAAGAGTCAAATATAAACCTTGCAAACTTGTCAACTGTTTTCTAGGCGAACGTCTTTTCCCTCTTATTCACGCCATGCACCCTACTCTGGCGGGTAAAATCACTGGTATGTTGTTAGAGATTGACAATTCTGAACTCCTCCATATGCTTGAGTCTCCTGAATCTCTTCGTTCGAAGGTAGGTGGATTCTTTGGTCAACTGTATTTCTTTTAAGTGCAGCTTATCTATTAAACTAGGTTGCCTTTACAGCAATGTTAATAACATTGTTTTTATCTTAACTAGGTTGATGAAGCTGTAGCCGTACTGCAAGCCCACCAAGCTAAGGAAGCTGCTCAAAAAGCAGTTAACAATCCAGCGGGTGTTCCAAGTGTCTAATGTAAGTATTCTGGAGAAATGGCTTCAAATGCAGGCATAGATGCACCTGTGTGTGTGAAATAAATCTTCTGTCTGGGGAGGATGACAAGCTATAGGCGATGTACCAAAGTTCTGCTCACAGTGATTCCTATCTAATGTTTGTTGGTACTGGAGCATCATAATTACTAACAGTCCCACCTCTGTTGCGGAGATTGTCATGCTGAACTGTGGGCTGTTTTCCTTAACTTGCAGTGTGTTCCCTTAAATACATTACTACCCAGTGGCGTAGCGTGGGTTGTCAGCACCCGGGGCAAGGCAAGTAATTTGCACCCCCCACGCTACGCCACTGTTACTACCATGTCCCCTGTCTGAATCCTACACAATCATGAATGAAGATTTCAGTTTCAAAGTGTGGGAAAGCATTAATTGTCAGGGAGTACAGGTTTTTTTAAATTAGAGCTTGTAGATCAGAGGTTCCCAATTAGGTAAGTACTGCAAACCCCCTGTTTTTCAAAAGCCAAGTCGCAGACCCTCTGCTTTTGAAAACCTTGATATTTCTGTGGTAGTTTTTATTATGGTGCCACCATACCCTCCAACATGTCCCAGTGCAAAACTGGGTTGCATGTCTTCCAGGCTACGTTTGTACGCAAGTCACACGACCCCACATGAGAGTATGGAACCACTGTTCTAGATCAAAGATTAGTATTCAACTTGCATTGAATTTTAACCAAAACTAGGGCTATCTGTGACAGTCGTAGGGACTGGTAACTTAGCAAATGGAAAAGATGTTAGCTGAATTTTTGCCCTTGTGCAGCGTTATTGACTATAGGTTGGGTGATATCCATACCGAGTGTAAACCACTAAAATCCATGAACCTTAAGTCTGTTGATTTCAGCGGGCCTCGAGTATGACATTTTGGCAATTATCCTAGTGACACTTCTCACCATACTGTACAAACAAACAGGACTGTGGAAGTTACCTAGCATGCAAAAAAGAAGTAAAGGAATTTATTTCAATTTTCATATCGTTGTCCAATAATTTGGTGCAAAAATGCAATTCTAATGCATGATTTCTGTAGGCTGACACAGTTTTATCAGTTCCCTCTTGATAAAAAGATAAAGCAAGCTCATCGCACATTCCTATATTACACCTGATCCTGGTCAAAGTATGCTGTTTGGTTTTAATAATATTTAATATAATACAAATCTGTTTTTCTAAAGGAAATATATTTCAGTATTAATATTTTAATTCTTTTGGTTACAGAAGATCTGGGACTACGCATTATAATTTCGCTTCACCGAAGAAAAATATCTAAACATGGAAAAACTACTAAATATTGAGAAAAACATTGCAAAATATAAAATAAATAAAAAAAGGAAAGGAAACTTTGAAGCTTATGTACACAACAAATGCCAGGACTAGCAAAACTGTTGGTCCTAGATTACCTATTGATTTAAAATACAAAAAAATAGCAAAAGTTAAAAAAACAAATTAATGTTTTATAAACCCAGGAAATGAATTTTCAGCACAGTACAAAAATTTAAAGCATTCCTTTCTTTAATTTTGTAATTTACTGTGGAAAACGCTCAGAATATCACTACTGTTGTAGTTAACAGTAGGAATTGATAGCTGAGCAAAAAACCATAATTTGGATTATAAGATTCTTGCTTTAATAAAAATTCCTTAAACACTGATCTAATTGCCATTTTATTTCTATACTTCTAATGAGATGTCAACAATAGAGTTTGGATGTAGATCTACAGCAAATGCAGTTGTGGATGAGATTAACCTACATTGAGCCACCTGTTAATGGGGTATCTGTAAGCACTAAAATGGATGAACAACTGGATTCATCTCTTTTGTAGCTTAAAATTCTTGACAGCACTTTCTAGAGCTGAATATGCAAATTTTTTTATTGTAGTGAAATTTAAATAGAAATATTATGTTTGTATGCATCTTTCTGTTGAGCTGGGGGCAAAATGAAGTTAATTAAATATGAATAGGCTTGGATTAAGCTTGGAAATCAAAATACATAATTTTAATGGTACATTCAAAGGCCCAACAAAAAGGAGCAGAGTAGATTTGGGGAGTAGGTGGACAAGATATGTTAACAATCAGTAATGGAGTGAATGGAACCGTGCTTGCGTTTTGTTGCAAATCAACATGGTCCAGCTGTCATATATTACTATTAGGTATGAGGTTAACATGTACGCTTCAGGACCCACATGCAATCCTGACACTCAGTTCTAGGGATCTTTTGATAGAGAACGACATCCTCCAGTGTTCATCACCTATAGAATTAACAGGCAGCAGAAATGAGAAGGGAATTAAGCTTGTTGTCTCAAAAGGGAAGTAGCACATTTACTAAAAAAAATATTAAGCAATAAAACAGCACACTAAATATATAGTCTGATCTTAAGAGTTAAAACCAATACAGGTAATTGTTAGAAGCATTCCTAGGAACACATGGGAAAAAACAGAATGTTGTCAGGGAAAGGGGTGGAAGGAGGTTTGGCTGAAGGGCAGGAAGTGGTATTCCAAGAGAAAAATGGATGCTGATAAGAACTGGTTGTTTTTAAAAGGAATTTGAGGAGTAAGGTGTTGGCATATGGCATACATGGCCATACTTGGCTCTCCAGGCGTTTTGGGACTACAATTCCCATCATCCCTGACCATTGGTCCTGCTGTAGTCCCAAAACAGCTGGGGGGGCAAGTTTGGCCATGCATTGGCATATGGAGTTAAAATGCTGACAACTCTGAATCACTGCTAGGAAGCTTGGCGGTTTCTCTTCCCCTTGCTTGCAAGTATATCTCTACAATGCAAGCTGAGTTGCAACCCAACTCTTGTAAAGTAAGTAAGTTCTGGTTAGTGGGCTTTGGGGGAAGTTTTTAGCTGAAAATCAAAGGCGGAAACTTTGGGGCAATGGTTGAAAGTAATGAGGTTAGGGAGGTCTGAGATTTTGAGGTGAGAAAACAGGAATAAATGAGTCTCCCCAAGAAAGAAGGACCTCTGATTGGGTTTCAAAGAAGTTGCGGATGTTGGACAGCTGGACCTGAGAGCAAGTGTAATACAATAAGCCTGTAACTTGCGCACATTCAGCTTTATACGCTTGCCAAAAAATAAAAAGGGTGTTTGGGGGGAACCTTGATTTCAATGGCGGGTGGGACTGCCAGCGTGTTTTGACCATGTGCAATTTTGGCTTTAGGTGTGATCCCTGCAACATAACCCTCGCATAACTTGGGGGCTTACTGTACCTTATTCTGCAAGCCTGGGGTTGAGTGTGTTGGAGGTGAGAGTACCTATTGAACAAGAAAGGGGAGGAGCTTACAGGAAAGTTCATTGGTACAGATAAGATATTTTGATACCTGAAACTAGTGCTATCTGTTAGTCGTTTTAAAAAACCCAACCCTGATAACGGAGGATGAGGAAGGAGTGATGTTTGGTGACCCTATTATGTGCTGTTCCTGAAGGAGTGTGACTCAAAGGATTTCCATGGGGGGAGAGAGAGAGACAGGATTCATTTGGCTTCCAGGCCCGAGTTTCCCCACCAGTGCTCTAAATGGTCACCATTGACATAAAAGTGCAGTCCTGCACGTGACTAACCTCTGCAGACATTACTTTAGTTGCTACCGCATGCCCGGATGGTTTTTCTTACCCACCACCTCAATTTTCAATGATCAGAAGTGAGTTCCATTGCTAAAATAGTGTGACACCATCCATGCCTAAGATAGGTTTGAGAGGGAGGCCCCAAGGCTTTCAGATTAATAGGGGACCCTGCCAAAAAAAGAGCCCAGTGACGGATGGAGCATGTGTGTTGGGCGTGGTGAGGAATGATAAAATACAAAAGGGCTGCTCATTTCAGCAGCACAGTATGTAGTTAGCAGATTGAGAAGAAATTATATAACACTGAAACCTAAAATGGACTTCTAAGTGTTTACAGGGATAAAAACCATTTACACAAACATTACAGTATAAATGTCCGTAATTAAAATACACAGGATAAGTGCATGCTCTTAGAATTCTAGGCAGTAGGCATGGACATTTTATCCTTCAACAATGGCTAACAATGCTATCAATGCAGACCACGTTTGTGAGGAAGCAATCCCCATTGAGTTCAAATGGACTTAACTCCCAGGTAAGTGCACATAAAATATAAATATTTTGAACTGGAGACTGGGAGCATCTCAAAATGACCTTCGAGATTAAAATCAACTGTAAGGGAAAGGATTTGAGGTTCCACTGTACTGTAATATACCATTCATCCTGTAGTGGTGAGTGATCACCAAAGAAGAAAAAAGTTTTTGCAACACTTTATCTTCTATACAACCTGTTGGAACATGTACCTTATAACTTCAAGTTTGGTCCATTTTGCTGTAGGGTTCTATCCTGCGTCTTTTCCCCCTGTGCATATATTGACATCTGAATGAGTACAATTACTGTTCAGAGCAAGCTCAGGATCAGGATTCCATTTGGGCACAGGCTACCGTTAGAGAACTGTAGGGAGTAGAATGGTTGCAGTTAAACCCTGGGTTTTTGGCTTGTGCTGCTGTAAAAGCCAATCCCAGTTAGAGGTGAATGCCTCTCTGGGTCTGTACCCACCCCCCTTCCCGGTGCCCTGCAAATAAAATAAGGCTGCTTTTCTGGTGAACCTTCAATGTTTTCTAGATCAGTTTGCAGGGCTCGGGTAAACCATGGATATGAGATCGTTTCCCGGCTTAAGAGTAGCTGACTCACAGGAGTATTCTTGTAAGTCAATTGTATGTCAAGGAACAAGGGTGCTGATCAAGCCTTCAGAATAATTCCTTGGAATTAGTCACATGAACAAACACACAATGTAGTACAAATTTGAAGGTCCCAGGGTTGACACGCTGTGCTTTGTGCGAGAGTCTATCTGCCACTGGGTGGTGCTATCCCAGAAATTTCCATATAGGTATACTTGGGGATTTTAAAAAAACTGCTGCTTTGTCACCTGTATGCTTCTACACTTGAGATGTGCTTTTTAATTTATAGCGCAGAACTATCCCGAGCTGTCAGGAAGTCAGAAACTCATTGACAAGATCTACCTACACATGAAACTTGCTCAATTTTGAATCTGTCTGAGCTGAGTTCATTTCATATTCCTGCACTATTGTATGACATGGGCAGTTCGCCCTATGCAATGGGTATCTTTGTGGTTTTCCTTTCTCCTTTGTTTCCTTCCTTCGCCAAGGTGTGAGAATGCTGAGCTGAGAAAGGATTATGTAGCCTTGCTTGTTGCAAGTAGAAATCAGACTTTGAGGCCAATGGATGTGGTTTGGCAGGGAGTTCAGATACGTGCATAATTTGCAGGGACGATTGCTCGATCCAAAGAATGGAGTATATGGAAAATAGCCAGCGATAGTATTCTACAAATGCTTGTGTAAGCCAAGGTTTCCCAAACATGGGTCTCCAGCTGTTTTTGGACTACAGCTCCCATCATCCCTAGCTAGCAGAACCAGTGGTCAGGGTTGATGGGAATTGTAGTCCAAAAACAGCTGGAGACCCAAGTTTGGGAAACCCGGGTGTAAGCAATAGTAGAACAGTTCATGCAATGTTGGAGTAGGCAAGCTCTGGCAGCTCTCATGCTTCCCCTTGCACATGCTTTTTGAGAAATGCAATCATATATTTTGGATTTAGGCTGTGCACACCATGTATTTAAGGTGCATTCTTTGCCTCTAAAAATTCTGATCGTTGTTTGCAGGGAGATTGCAATTCTGTGAGGCGTAAACTACAATGCCCAGAATTCATTGAGGGAAATGTGTGTGTACACAGCCTTAGTTTCCCTTTCGTCATACAACACTTAAATTTTTTTTAAAAAAGGTTTAAAAAAACTTAAGTCCCTTTGTGATTCAAAGACACTGACATATAGAAAAGCTCCTCTGGATCCAACCCAGAGTGCTTTAAATCCAGTATATAAATCCTGCTAATAAACAGAAGTGACTAACAGTGTTTCTCTTCAGAAATACTTCTTTCTCCAATTATAACTAAGGATTTTGAAGCAGGAGAGGATGGACTTACAATGTAAAGGTGGGGAGATTTTCAGGTTTTACGGCCGACAGGAGAGGGGAAAGAAACAACAAAGGGGGACGTTTGAAGAACTAAGACACATTTTTAAAGATAATAGTTTTGAATTCTACTTGGAGGTCCAGCAAACAAACCATAATTTGCTTTGCAGCTTTTAAAAAAAATATGTCCTATTCATTTCCCATCATCTCTGCAGTCACATACAGTATATGGGTTCTTGGCTTGCACCCCAGTGTAGATGCTGTTTATTGGCACATCGCATTGCAAAAGCAATGAATGCACATTAAGATGAATGATGGAAACATAGAATTTTAGAGTTGGAAGGGACCCTGAGGATCATCTAGTCCAGCCCCCTGCAAGGCAGGAATATGCAGCTGCCCCATATAGAGATCGAACTCTCAATCTTTGCATTATCAGCACCATGCTGTAACTAATGAGATGCATCTTCAGTTGCTGTGCATTCAGTGAGGCTTCTGATTCAACTCTCAATCCTTCACCATTCAAGGTGGTGTTGCCCTTTCTACCTTAAATAATCTTTTGCACGAGGGAGAAATTGGGTTCAGACGTCCGCGCAAGGACATGCAATTCTCCATGCACAACCCCCTTCTTACTAAACTCCTAGTCAAGGAAGCGAGAGAACATGTAACCTTACATCAGCCATCTGCAAACCTTCTCTGGCAGCATGTGAGTCCATGCTGCTGCGGGGGCAGGTCTTTTTAAATAAGAGATTTGTTGCATATAACAGGAGTTCCTCCATCTATCCCTGTCCTTTCCTCTGGTTTGGTACCTAGTATGGTAAGGCAGGGTGCCCACCTTACAAACAGAATTATGTTGATGTATCAGCCTCACTTTCATTTAAAAAAGTATTTTTTATTGTTTTCTGTTACAACAGTAAACACCAAGAAACGGGACATTTGTGTTCTCGCATTCACAATATCAAATCAAGACCACCTTGCATTAAGGTGTTCTCCTTGTCTATGAATGTCTTGTTTTTTACAGAGAGCTTGTGAAAAATCTGCTGCAGCTCCCCTCACTGCTGCTTGTGTGTAACAGTCAGCATTTTCTTTTCTGGGTGTTATCCTGCTTGCTCAGCGGTTCTCTTCTGTCTCGTGTCTTACTAACGTACATTTCATTCCTAAGTAAAAACTTGTGCCTGAGTTTGCTTATTTCCTCCTTCCTCCCAATCCATTTTCCTTTGCCGTCTAACACTGTAGCCCTGAGGGTAGGCTCTTTTTTAAAATATGTATCTGTAAGCCACTTTGGGAACCTTTTTTAGTGGGATACATCTTTAAATAAATATATTTTTCTAAGGCTCATATTAGCCCAGGTGCAAGAGAGCTTGACCCACTTACTAGTATGTGCACTTACACCAATTATGCTTGCTTTACTAGTCGTCCAGTCCTTTGACCACGGTGCATAATTTTTAAGAGATATGCTAGAGTTAAACTATACCTGGAAGTTTTATTTGCATATAGTGGAGGCCGGTCCACTGGGGGCAAGTGGGGCACTGCCCCACCAACCTCAGTCTGGATTCAGCCAGCCTGCCATCTTACTTACAACCAATGGGGGGCTGCTTGTCATTGGCTCTGGCTCCACCCGCTGTTGGTCTTCCAACTTTCTGCCCTAACAGTGCCATTGGGCACACCAGCCCACAACTGCATGCATAATTTGGAAGCTCTTCTCCGTGATATTCTGGATTAATCCTTGTTATTTGTAAAACAGCCCTTTGTCTACACACTCAGAGGCAGTGAGAGGTTCTGTTTCCTGCCTCCTTGCCCACTCTCCACAAATTGTGAAATGGTTTCAGATAATCGAAAGCTGCGCTGAAAATAAACTAGCATTGGTCTATCGGTCTCATTTTACAACCTGCTGGGCATTTCTTCCATGTACTAAAGGGATGGGGAAATGTAGCCAACTCAAATTAAACCGGCTGAACAATGATAATTTAAGAACTCTGTTCAAAAATAGAGAGCTGCATCAGTCTGAAGGATGTCATTGTAATTGGAGCACAACACACTAACTCCGTTACAGTGGTACACTGCAGCAAAAAAACAAGAGTAACAAAATCTACCTGAAATTCTGCACCAAGAAAGTTTCATTCAAAAACCAAAACAAATTATGCATATTTCTCATATAGAATCATAGAATGGGAAGGGATCATAGCATTGGAAGGGACCACAAGCGCCTTCTAGTCTAGCCTTAATTTACATCGTTTGTTTATAAGGTATTTCTGTACCACCACATAATAAAATATCAGGGTGGTTGGTGTTCAACGATAAAGTGTAAAGCACCATAAAAAATAATGCAATGTAGCTTTTTTCATTCAGATAGCTGCACTATCTGGTCCAATTGGACCTTGGAAGTTAGAAATCCTGCTAAGCCTCTCTCTAATTATGGCAGTTTCACCAGGAATTCCTCATAAACTTGGAAGCCTACCTGCTGAGCCTCTTGAGTTTTGTGCCCAATGCTGCATTCCGCATTTCTTATGACGACATGGAACTGCAGAATATACACAGACCTAAGCTGAGGAATTAACTACGGTTGTCTATGCGCTGCTATTTACTCTGGTTCCAGTGTGCTCCCACTGAAGGGGTCTGAAGCCATGTGGCAGAGTTGGGTACTATGATGCTCTGTGAGAGGCAACTCCCCCCCCAGCCCTTGTGCTGCCTTCCCAATGGCAGGGAAGGAGGTAGAAGGGCTCTGGCAGGATGCTAGAGCCCTCCCACCCCATTCCCAAAGCTGGAAAATCACTAACTAGGCTTTGGAAAGGAGGCAGAAGACCTCTAGGACCCTGTCAGAGCCCTTACACCTCCTTCCCAAAGCTCTGCACTTCCTGGGCTTTGAGATGGTGCTGCCTCAGCTGAGTGCAGGTGCACCAGTCACCCAGCCCTATATCCACCTCTGGGTTAGCCACAATGCATAGTTTCTTGAGACACAGTGCTGTTTGATGTGTCCCTCCTCAAACCAGCTTCCATCTGATTTGAAAATGTCAGCCACATTCACTGCAGTTTGGCTGAGGTGTGTATATTTGAGGTAGCCACTGCGCATGTGCGGATCACAGCTGCATGAACAAAAGTTGCTTTGGGGGTGGGTTCAGGATTGGGGAAAGCAAATGGGTAATATGCACCAGGCGAAGACATTCCCAACCCCTCTGGTGTGTACAGCAACATGCAAATGCCACTTGAAACTTGAGTGGAGGGAAATGACCTTGCTGTGTTTCAAACCGCTAATGTGCACATAGCCTAACAAGTAAAGAAGAAGGAGACATCTCTGATGCTACCAGGCTGAATGTAGTTTAAAATTCAGAAAGAAATACAGAATTTTAGAGGAAGGAAATTTTCAATACTTACAAGGTGAGAACAAAAAAAACCCATGTCCTAACAATGCCTGTGTGATTGGCATTGTACCCCACCGTGCATCAAATAGAGATCAAACCCGGACAGACAATGAGGGTGTGTACAATGTCCAACAACTCTCTCTCTCTCTCTCTATATATATATATACACCACAAAACTGCACAGCCTGCTTGGACAAATAATGGAATGTGGTTAAGCAAGGGGGGAAGAGTCTCGCATCCTCATCACAAACAATGGTGCAAGCTATATTCACAAAGTCTCAGGGATGCCACTCCTGCAACCACAATCCATGTTTCATTTAACAAATATGATGGACATGTACTGCAGCTGGTGAGGGGTTCAATGGTTGTGTTTTACAGGCCTTTAACAGCCACCTTACACAGAAATTACCGTATTTTTCGCTCTATAAGATGCACTTTTCCCCTCCCAAAAATTAAGGGGAAATGTGTGTGCGTCTTATGGAGCGGATACAGGCGGGAGGCTCTGCTCAGCGCTCCCTTTAAAGAGCTGCGTGGAGCGTGTGTGCGGCTCTTGGGGGCCTTCATGCCGCTGCCCAGGAGAGGCTGCGCACGGCTATCCCATAAGCCAGGACAGCAAGTGGGATCGCTGAGCTGCGATCCTGCTTGCTGTCCTGGCTTCTGGGATTCAGAATATTTTTTTTCTTGTTTTCCTCCTCCAAAAACTAGGTGCGTCTTATGGTCTGGTGCATCTTATAGACCGAAAAATACGGTAAAATGGTCACTTCATCCACTATGGATGCTCAGGACGACAACGGCATGTTCAGGACAGCAGACAGAAGAATAAATGGTGGAAGAACGTCAATTCAGAAAAAGAGTTAAAACAACAGACATGTATGCAGGGAAGTGGTTTATTAGGCCAAATGCATGTTGACAAAAGTCTTCAGGGGCACATCGTGAAACAAAATGGTAGACAGAAGAAGAATCAATATCCAGCTGAAAACAGGATACAGAAAGTACACTGGTGTCACGTCTGTCTACAATTTTGTCTCATGCTTCCCCTGAAGAAGTCCTTTCTCAAGATGTGTTGGGCATAGTAAACCACCTCCCTGTGTACCAGAGTCTCAACTCTCTCTTTTTGTTCCCTTGCTGAATTTCCGTCATGCAGCTTTTAAAGACCCAGGAACAAAAGGTGATAACCTTACTATCTCTATATAATCTAAATGAGCCTAGGAATGTAGGAAGCTGCCTTATACTGACAGCACAGACTGTTATTGGTCCTTGCACCTCATTACTAGTTTCTCAGAAGTCAAGGCTGACCCAAGACATTTTACTGCCCAAGGGAAACTTTGCTGTGGGACTCCAGCTCTCATCAGTCCAAGTCTGCCTGGTCAGGGATGATGAAACTTATATTCTAAAATATCTGGAGGGTCACAGGTTCCATGCCCAAGGCTGGAGTGTTAGATGAGAGAGAAGAGCAATTCTCAGCATAAAATCCCCACTCAGCCATGAAGCTCTCTGGGTGTCCTTTGAAAAAGAAAATTCTCCCAGGACTTTATTATGAAGTTAAAATAACAGTTCAGTAAGAAAATGAAATGGTACTTCCCCCCTTTATTTTATCTCATATTTTTCTCTGCTTGTCCTTGTGCCAGTCACTGAGTGCTTTCAGACAACTTGCTTACTGCGCATTCATCCTTGTGTGCAGAGATTAGATGATGTTGGCTGTTTAATGACCATTCATGCTGATTTGGTTGCGGGGTCAATAGATGATGTTGCATCAAAGCAAGTGCTAATCCACATTTCCCAGTGCAATTTCCCATTGCTTTCATTGCAAAAAAAGTCCAATTTTGGTGGTGGGGGGAGCGAGCAGGTTTGTTGTGCAAGTCCTCCTCCCAACCCAATTTGTGTGTCCTGAATTTGCTGGTATCTGATTGAATTCCACCCAGAAAATAGGGACAGTCTTGAAGCACCCACTGTTTCTCAACTGGACCTGCCGCAGACACAAGGCTGCTGTTGTGAGTATAAAATGGAGGGGGCAGAACCACAGCGCCATGCCTTGAGCAGGTTCTGTCCCCGCATGGGACTCCTGCATTGAAATAGATGATACTCACTATCCCTTCCAATTCTAAAATTCTATGATTCTATGAGCAACTCACAGGGCTGGATTAAGACCTTTAGAGGCCCATAGCACTTAAAAAAATTTGGTGCACCCATGTAGATCTAATTCAAAATATAAACAATAATAAACCGTAAAATACTGTCTTCTGCAATCACTTTATAAAGTTCAGCATGAATGAATCTTGTTTTTGCATTTTTTGCTGCACTGAACCTATGACGCACATATTGTGGGAGCCTTTTTATGTGGAACCTGTTCAGCTGTACCTTATGGTCTTTGGAAATTTTCCAGCAGAAATTTCCCCCTTCCCTTGATGCCCTAAGCACGTGCGTCATTATTTTGCTTAATGCTGTGGTTCCCAACGTGGGGCACACGCACCACAGGGGAGCAATTTGATTTTTAAGGGGGGCAATTTAAGAATTGAGTTATTAACAGTTAATGGCCTTTTAGGCTTCCTCCACGTGAATAATTCACTTTTTGAATAATAAAATTTACAGTATATGTCATGGCGGGGCGGGCATCAGGATTTTAGAGATGCTTAGGTGGGGCATGGCCACAAAAAGGTGGGGAACCACTGGCTTAATGGCTAACACAGCCCTGGCACCTTGGAGGAAAGCCAGGCTATAAATGTACTAAATGGATAAAATGGATAGATTAGCAAATTCTTCTGTGGGAGGCTTCATACAATGAGGCAGTGCCAGATTTATGTATAAACTAAACAAGCTACAGCTTAGGGCCCCACTCTCTTGGGCCCCAAAAAAATTTAAAGGAAAAAAATGGGTGTACATTTCCAAAATATAAGATAAAAAAACAAATAAAATAAAATCTACATACATGTTGTGTAGGCTCTTATGGTGTAAGTAATGGGCCCTGCCTGCTCCCTAAAATATTCAGCACAAAAAACAGCGACAATTCGTTGTTGACTAAGGACAGCTAGACATAGAAAGGGCCCTGTTACCTTCAGTAGCTTAAGGTAAAGGTAAAGGGACCCCCGACTGTTAGGTCCAGTCGTGGCCGACTCTGGGGTTGCAGCGCTCATCTCGCTTTACTGGCCGAGGGAGCCGGTGTACAGCTTCCGTGGCCAGCATGTGGCCAGCATGACTAAGCTGCTTCTGGCAAACCAGAGCAGCGCATGGAAACGCCGTTTACCTTCCTGCCAGAGCGGTACCTATTTATCTACTTGCACTTTGACGTGCTTTTGAACTGCTAGGTTGGCAGGAGCAGAGACCGAGCAACAGGAGCTCACCCCGTCGCGGGGATTCGAACCGCCAACCTTCTGATAGGCAAGTAGCTTAGGGCTACTGACCTTCTGACCAGCAGCTTAGGGCCTCATCAAACTTAAATCTGGCCCTGCAAGGAGGGGGGCATCACTTGCTCAGGCTACTCTCCTTTCCCCCCCTAAAATTCAATATACACCGTGTACTGTAGTACCTTATCTGCCACATGGTGGGAAATACACCTTTTGAGTAATGGTGAGGGCTCCCTACCCGGTTTGTCTTTCTCAAGCAGGGAAGCCAAGCCAGCCAAGAGATTTCCCTGGCGCGGCCGCCCCACGACCTCCACCTGCTGCTGCTGTTGCTACGCCTCGCCTGGCCTGCTGCTGCTCCCCACCCTCCGGAGGGAGGAGACAGCCGCGTCCCGGCTCCGCCATCACGTGGGGAAAACAAATGCTCCCGCGGCCGCCCTGCCCCATTAGCACAGCCTGGCCAGGCACGCGGCGGGGTCTGGGCTGGCGAGGCGGCGCGCGCGCCTGCTCTCCGCCTCCACCATGAAGATGCACTTCAGCATCCCTCTCTCCGAAGAGCTGCTGGAGAAGTTTGGCGGCCGCTATGTGGTGAAGTAGCCAGGAGGAAGCGGGAGGGAGGGATGGAGGGCGACCGTAGTAGCCGCGCTGGCGGTGAGGAAGGCGGGTTAGAGAGAGGCGCGCGCCTGTGCGTGTGTGTGGAAGTAGCGAGGCGTCTGCACCAGACGCTGCAAGCGCCACTTTGCCCGCAAGTTGGCAGGAGCCGCGCCTTTTTTTTGCCCAGCGCTGAAGAGACGCAACCCCAGGAGGGCGAGAGGCGCGCACCTGACGCGGGTTAAGAGCCGCCTTGCATCATTCGCCTTTCCCTCCAGGGCTGCTTGTTGTGGGGCGCGGTGGGGAGGGTCTGAGCAGGGGAGATGGAAGTGGGGGGGGGTTCCCACAGGGAAGGAGAGCGTGGATTTGGCTTCCCGTTGCAGGCAATTGGTTGAGGGATCCGTCCGCGTCGTGTGGCGCTGAGCTTGGGGGATGCTTTATGCGCAGCTGAGGTGGGGGAAATGGGGCGTGTGTGTATGCGAGGGGAGGAGGAGGAGGAGGGTTGCGTGGCATGTGGGGTGGGGGTGGGTGGGAAGCACAGCCTCTGTGTGAAAGGAATGGGGAGGTTGGGAGTGGGGAGTGCTTGCCAGAGGCAAATAACTTGAATAGTGTCTGTAGGGAAGGAGGGTGGGCTTTGCGGGAGTCAAGATTTGGAGGGGTCTGTGCCTGGATGGCACAGATTTGTACTGATGCGCCAGGAACGAGGAGCATTTGAGAGAGTAGAATGTGGTTGGCACGTGGTTTCACGGGGTTGGGGGAAGAGTGTGTGTAAGAAGGAGGAGCGGGGGGGCTCAGACTATACAATGGCCAAAAGAAGGGAAATCTGCTGCTGCTGTGCCCTGCTTCTCAAGTAAACTGCAAAGATTCTCGCCCTATATTTGAAGAAATTACGGTTGCCCTTGTTCATTCGTATTAAGCACCCCATTGCAATACCCGAAATGATCAAATGATCTGGAGCGACAGTCTTTTCAAATAAGAAATATCTGGCAAGCCTAGGGTAGGCAGAGAGCTGCACTCTCAAAGTGCATTATTTCCCCCAAAAGAATCCTGGGAGCTGTAGTTGGTTGATGTTGCTGGTCTGTTAAGGGGTTCTTTGGGGGACGCAGGTCTGTTAAGGGGTTCTTTGGGGGACGCAATGTACTTTAAATGTACTTGGGGAAGGCATGGGAATGAATAGCAGTGTGATGGGAATTGTGAGTTGATTGTAGGGTGAGGAGGCAGGATGAGTGTGCCATCATATAGGAGGATGCCTTGGTTTGGGGAATTTGCAGGATCTGCGTGAGAAGAATTGTGGGGCTCTATGCAAGAAAGTTTGAAATGCAGATAATAGGAAGTGATAAATTCCCCTAACTCTCCCAAGAGGATTTATTTAGAGAATCTGTGTATTTTCAGCTGTACTCTGTGTATCTTGAAGGCTTCCTTTTCTGCAAGGTGCGTTACAGTCAGTTGCACCACTGGAATGAACAGGTAAGATGTTCCGGTTCATTGGTCACCTTCCCCTTTCACTTATCGCTGCTCCTTTTTCATGTTCTGCCAGAAAACATTTTGGAGGATATGTTTTACATGGAAGTGTGGTACATTCTACAGCGGGGGAAGGTCAGACTCCAGCCCTTGTTGAATCTACTTTGTATTTTACTAGAGTCCTGAGATCTGTCAGCTGGAGCAAGGTACAAAAGATTTGCACTTAGAACGAAAGAATATGGTGCCTCTCAGCTACTGCTGAGTACAGGGGTTTTTTCTGAGTTCCAGAACTGAGATTCACTCAGTTTTCCCATGTAAAAATCAATCCCTGGTTATTCCAAGTTTTGTTCATTCCTGCAGACTTAATTTTTTTTAAGTGTTCATTTTGTTATTGCTATAGCTACGCAATTGGGAGTCAGAAATCATTGAGGTCTACCACAAATCACCCAGAGATCTTCCAGTAGATCATGATATGCCTTCCGCCCATCCCTGTTCTCTGACATTCATTGATTTGTGAGTGGAGAGTGTCACCTAAATTTAGGAACATACGGGTCTAATGTTTAGGTTCGATAGGCAGCTATGTAAATGTTCCCTTTATTCAGAGCACTTGATATCCATTTGAATTTTTACACACATGAATGAGTTATCACTTTTAGGGTTTAGATAAGTGAGGTATATGCAAGAATAAACTACCTTACTGTAGTTTATGTGAGAGGGTATGGATATGTAATGGGCATTGTCCTTTGTGTGTTTTTCTTTTTAATAACTTCTTTTCACACAAACAGCTACAGAGATATGTTCCAAAATATAGCTCTGTTTAGTTGCTTTATTACTCTCTGTCATTGTTTCAAAGGGTCTTGCTAATCATTTCTGCCATTGTTAATTTTAATTATTTTGGGTCATTGGGTTGAATCCAAAGTAGCGCTAAAAGAGATCCTCCTTCTGTGCCCTCCAACCTGTTCTAGGGGTTCCCCAAAGCCCCTGGAGCAGATCTGGAAAGGGTGTGGGGTGCATGTGGGAATGGGAGAGGAGGAGAAATGCCTATTGCACAAGTGTAAATCCTTGCACTGACGGAATGCATTAGTTGAATACTGCCCATTGCCTTTATTGCAATATTACAATCAAGATGACTTGTCTGGGCTATATCCCCAAAGGTGGCATATAAATAATATTCATATCTGAGGCTGGAACAATATGGACATATTTGTTAATTTATAGCTAAAGCAAAACATATACAGTCATACCTTTGTAAGTTGAACATTTTGGCTCCTGAACGCCGCAAACCCAGAAGTTTTGGTTTGCGAACGTTCTTTGGAACCCGAAAGTCTGACTTGGGTTCTGCGGCTTCCGATTGGCTGCAGGAGCTTCCTGCGCCTTGATTTCCGAACGTTTTGGAAGTCGAACGAACTTCCGGAATGGATTCCGTTTGACTTCCAAGGTATGACTATAATTTAAGATAATAGGCAGCATCCTACTTCAACTGACTAAATATTGGCAGAGCTTAGGGACATGGTGGTTTTGAATAGAATGTAAGGATGGAGAGGAAAGTTCCACTTAGATTAGATCCATAGAAATTAATGGACCTAATCATAGCCATTAACTTCATTGGGTATACTCTTGAGTAGAACTTACATTGGATGCGTCACAATATGTCCAGGGTTTGGACCAGAGTGACTTCAGTGACATAACATGGACTGAACTGTGGTGGATGTCTCAGGCTTAATGTCAGGATGGCGGGTATATGTTTTAGGGAAAGTCAAAGGAAAAAGGCAAGGGGGAAAGGCATGTAGAGTTGAAGTAAAGTTTCTTTTTTCTCTCGTTCCTCCTTGCTGATTTTTTGCTTACTCAGATTCCCCATTAAAGGCTTAAAGTTTCTTCTTTTAATCCCAACTGGCATTAGTGAATATCCAAAAAGCTATGAAAGGAGAACTGAGTAACATTGAGAAGAACAGGTTTCTCTCATTTTTCAGGTGCCTTTAACAGGTGGGAACACCGTGTAACAAGCAATATGAAATAAACTATGTCAAATAACTTCCTTGGGCATGAGAGACAATGGCCTCTCAGTGTTTATCTGTCAGAAAAATCAGATTGTGTTAGCCACCAGAACCCAGCTTCAATGTTCTTGTCAGAAAGATGCTATCACTGATACAGATTCCTAGCGTACCCTCTTCAGAAAGATCCAGGTAACCATATTGCATCATGTCCATGAACATTATTACAACAGCCTTCTTCCATTTGAACCATGTGAGGCATCAGCATTCTGCTGCTGTTATACTCTGCCTCTAGTAAAAGCTTCCAGAGTGGCTCTCTATACACTAGTTGCAAAAAAAAACCAAAAAAAAAACCAGGAAAAAGGAGTTAGATAAAATCACTATAAATTGTTGTGATTTGGAGGTTTAATTTGAAATCAAGCTGGATTTGCATTCCTTGGTGTTTCTGGCAACCTCTCTTGCATCATGGATGTTGGGTCATATTATGATCTGTATTGTTTTAATTGGTACGGTTGCTAAGGGGTTGTTATGGCCTTTGGCTAGAACAGTAAACTGATATTGATTGATTGAAATGGAGAGCCGTAACAGTGAATTACTAGTAAGTGTATGGTAATGTGGAACACCAGGCATAAGTTACAATTTTACTAAAATTAGTAGTCCCTGACAAGTTTTACACACAGCAGCTCATTATTAAGCCACCCTGTAAGAGTTGGATGTATTCTGAACTGAAAGGAAGAAAGAAAACATGAAATGCATCTGATTATCCTGGAGATTTCCATTAAAAGGGTTCAGTAAAAATCGTACATATATCATGATAAAAAGAGGAACGCGTAAGAAGATGAGTTGTTGATTCTACCTCTCCAGATTCACAGGAACATTTAGGTTGACAATAGGGGACGTACAGCCCCTTGTATTTCAAGAATATAAGAATTGCTTTGCTCTTCCAGTCCAGCTAGTCTGTCCTTCTTGTCTCTAACAAGTAAAGTGCTCTATCCAGTTGCCCTGTCTTTTCAGTTAAGGCGGGTCTTTGGGAAAGGTGTGCCTGCGTTCCCTCCAAAATTCTACCTCGCAATGACGAAGTCAATGGCTGATGAAAGGAGAGCTCAACTTGAACAATATCTACAGAATGGTACAGCAAATCCTTAATACACACACGCACACGTGTCAATAGTGGTTCATGACACATGGTGCAAATGTAAATTTTATGCATGATTTCATTGGATCAGAAACTGTTAGATGGTATCTCATCTGTTCTCATGGGCTGAGCATGTTTATTTAGCCCCAAACTATTTATTACAGATGCTGCTCTATCTTGTTCTATAAAACCTCCACTAAATAAAGGCTGCACAGTATTGTTATTTCCTCATATTAGCCAATGGCCTTCAGGCCAACTTTCCAAAAGCACCACCACTACAATTCAAATTGTTATATATATATATATATATATATATATATGTGTATGTATAAAATGAGTTGCATCTGATGCAGTGCACAAGAAAGAAGATCCCCCTGTTTTTTCCTCACCCATTATAGTCATCAGTTAAGTAAGGATTCAGGAAAACAGATTTAATTTATGTATTGGGTTTTCTCCAAGGAGCTCAAGGTGGCATAAATGAAAGGGTGAGGAGAAAATGTGGTCATCTAAAGCATCACTGTGTATATTGATTTATAAGACTTCTCATCAGGAGCTTATGAAATGTGATGATCATTATTCCTGAAAGCCACTCTACACAATGCTTTCTGGATCCTCCAATGTGCTATTAAAAAAAATCCACATTCAATTATACAAACTTAATAATTATTTTCTACCATGTTTGTCTTGAATAGGCATGTACTTTCTTCTATATTGTTAGTTTCCCTTTCAGTCATAAAATGACTGAAAGCTTACATATATAGATAATCCTTTAAGCTGTCAGTCCTGATTTTTGTCCTTTTGTTTTTCAGTGTCGATTGATCCTAGTATTACGAACAGCGATGTCTTTATTAGTTTCTTTAGGAAACTGCAGCAGGTAAGCTCTAGTCTTTCACAGAAAACCTACTGGAAAAAGTGCTTGCCTTGTGCTCCCTGCACCTTATTCTGTCTTAAAACGGACTGAAAAATAAGCTTGTTTTTAGAAAGTAACAAATGGGCCCTGGGACAAAATACCATAGTGTGAGCTTCTCTTTGATATGCCATGACCATATCCTGGGGACTCCGTTCCCTTCGTCCTTCCCTCTGAGTTTTCCTTCCTCTCCTTCCCCCTTCCAACAATTGGCACCATTCCATGCCCAATGAGCATGCTCAGTTCTCCTTGCAATGTTTTGGTTCCACCCCCTTCCCCTTAGGGCCCACCCCCCACTCCCCCCCCTTTTTTGGGGGGTACTTCTGCAAACCTTAAGGGTTCCCTCAAGGCTGCTCCCGCCTCCTCCTCATGCTTGGATGGCAGTGTTTTGGCCTGCACTTGGAGTTTGATATTAGTGTGCAGGATAAATAGATCCTTACTGCTTAACTTTGCCTACTTTGCTGCATTAGCTACCAAGTTGGCAATAGTTGCAATTTGATATAAGCTGATCTGTTTAAAAGCTAATGCTATTCTCATGCCCCTAATGTTTTTGGTTGTTTTTTTTAAAGTGTGCCAAAAGGGTTTGCTTATGTTATTTATTTATTTATTTACCGTATTTTTCTCTCTATAAGACGCACTTCCCCCTCCTAAAAAGTAAGGGGAAATGTGTGTGCGTCTTATGGAGCGAATGCAGGCTATCCCAAAAGCCAGAACAGCGAGAGGGAGCTCTGCGCAGCGCTCCCTCTAGCTGTTCCAGCTTCTGGCTTAGCTGCGTGAAGCCCCTGCAGGGCAGTGGGGAGTCTTCATCCTGCTGCCCTGCGGAGGCTTCGCACACCTATGCCTGGCTTTTGCGGGAGGTGGGGGAAGGGACAGAGCGCGTGGCTCTATCCCTTCCCCCACCTCCCAGAAAAGCCCCCAAGAGCACGTGGCTCTTGCGGGAGGTCGGGGGAAAGCCAGGAGGCTTGCTTTCACTGAAGCCAGGAGAGCAAGTGGGATCGGTGCGCACCGATCCCGCGTTCTCTCCTGGCTTCAGGGATAGCCCTGCAAAGCCTCCTGAGCGAAGAGGGAGGAGCGCTCCCTCTTTGCTCAGGAGGCTTCTTATTTCTTGTTTTCCTCCCCTAAAAACTAGGTGCGTCTTATGGTCGGGTGCATCTTATAGAGCGAAAAATACGGCATTTATTTATTTACGGTCAGTAAATAACGAATCCCAGAAAACTCTCTGAGCACTTTTTTAAAAAAGAATCATGCTCCTTGGGACTTAGCTTCAAGAAAATAGCTTTGGGTTATGTCGGGACAAGAAACGATAAGTGTGTTGAGTGAAAATGTCAACATCTCTTTATCTTGTAATGGTGGTGACAGCTGCAGTCTGGCACGTACTTCCAGAGTGTTGCAACTTGAACTTCTAGCCTCTCTGCCTATATTCTCCTTAGTAGAAACAGTGTAAATATGGTGTATGATCATGGAGGTGCAGTGTCCTAAGGCCTTGCAAGGTTGGAATGATGATAGCAGAGTTTAGTTTCAGTAATTTTATCAATGTGGGACGCGGGTGGCGCTGTGGGTTAAACCACAGAGCCTAGGACCCTAGGTCGGCAGTTCGAATCCCCGCGACGGGGTGAGCTCCCGTTGCTCAGTCCCTGCTCCTGCCAACCTAGCAGTTCGAAAGCACGTCAAAGTGCAAGTAGATAAATAGGTACCGCTCCGACGGGAAGGTAAACGGTGTTTCTGTGCGCTGCTCTGGTTCTCCAGAAACGGCTTAGTCCTGCTGGCCACATGACCTGGAAGCTGTACGCCGGCTCCCTCGGCCAATAAAGCCAGATGAGTGCCACAATCCCAGAGTCGGTCATGACTGGACCTAATGGTCAGGGGTCCCTTTATCTTTACCTTTAATTTTATTAATATTTTCTGGCCTTCAGTTAAAATCATACCATTTAAGTAACACAGACAGCAAGGACATTTAAATGATGTGACAAGAGTTCGTTTTATTAGTATGGCATAAGCTTTCGTGGACTAGAGCCCACTTCAATCGGATGCATGATGTGTTATATTCAGGGCAGCTCCAGATCACCTACTTATTAAGTATTCATCTTGGTTTGCTTGTACAAAACTTAAAATTATGTCCACTCTTCATTCAGCATTCATTCCAATTTGCTTGCAAGCTGTCCTTATGTCTTCTCGTTAATAATTTTTTCATTCCGTACATTCAATGCATTTCCCCATCACTTTCCAAACTGCAAAAAGCCAGGTGGTGGTTGTTTTTAAAAATGCATTTGTTGCATAACAGAGAACTGCAGCCCTCCAGATGTCATTGGGAATACAATACCAACTATATCCCTAACCGTAGGCCAGGTTGGCTAGGGCTGATGGGATTTGGAGTCAAATAACATCTGGAGATCTATAGTTCCTCATTCCTGCTCTAAGGGGGCAGTCATTTAATCTCCTTTAAGTGCACAAACCCAAAGTTTTGGTACGCACTTGAATTGATGACATAAGTGATAGCCTAAGTCCCCTAAGATTTAATTAAATGTCGTAGGAGATGAAAACAGTGTCCTTACCTCGTTCATGTCCAAACAAACAGAATCAAATTTCATTATTGGTTTCAGCTTAGCAGTTTTGTACTGGAGCCCGCCCCCCCCCAACGCACTTTAATATTCTGTAGGAGAGAGCACATTTCAGGCCTGCCACAGTGTGCCCATGTTGTATATGGTTTCCAAATAAAGTAACTCTCAGGTTTTTACTACTTTCATTTCTCTGTGTACTTCATGAACATCACAAATAACGTCAGATTGTACTTTACTCAAGCTGTTCGCATGCCCAACCTAGAGCTTTTGTCCAGGAATGTGATCCGTACATGAGAAGAGCCATGCAATAGAATGCCTAGTTAGCATTCCTTCCACCACGTGTCTGTGGGTTAGCTGGTGCTGCATTATGATGCCAAACACATAGCCTAAATCTCAATATGTCATTTTTTTCAATAGGAGAGATGATTTATGGGAAGGATCATAAATTATGTGTAAACAGCAAGTGTCCATTGTATTTCACTATGTACTTGTAAGTGCATTTATAAAACAGCAATTGAAGGCTAAGTAAACATTGTCCAAGCATGAAAGATTCTAAGCAAATAGCTTTTAATAGAGATGTTCTGATACTCGGTGCTGTTTTCTTGCAAAACATTTTATAGAGGATCTAGGGCCTTTCTGCAATGGCCTGTAAACAAGAGGAGCTGTAAAACGGCTGAGCAAACCTTTTCCTCCCCTCTGTAGAATTTCTACTGGTACAGCATGACCTGAGAACATCCTCTAATTTATTTGTTTTAAGTTGCTGCATAAATGTAGTGGCGATATTTAGCACATGATTTCCCTCCTAGGATTTTTCAGTATTAACACTTATATGAAAAATCCTTGCAGGTGAGACTGTACAGTAGAAGTGACTATTTGGTGTGAATTTGATGGTGTAGTGGAAGGGCGAAACAGGAATATACTGTGATATTCTAAGCACAGTGAAGAGGTTTGCTGGTGAAATGGGCTGTGAGCATGGCAACACGGATTCAAGCGTTCCTCATTTCACGTGCCCACTCTGTATGGGTTGAGGACATCTTTGGCAGTGAAACAGGGCTCTAGCCCAACGTCCTGCAACATAGGACTCTTTTGCCCAGTGTGGGGCTCAGACCCACAACCCAGAGATTAAGAGTCTCATGTTCTATAAACACATGCATTGGATTGAATTCATGGCATTTTGCATGCAAATCATGTGCTCTACCACTAAGCTACAGCACATTCCCCATGAGCAGAGCAAACTCAGGGAGATAAGCAGTGGATGGTGGAAGACTCAGACCCCATTTTTGTTAGAAATTGGACACCATTGTCACAGTTCTGAGTTTAAGCATCAACTGAATCTGCTGTCATCATTTCTGGTTTAACCCCAAGTGCACTTTGCGACAGGTTAATTCAAGTTCTGCCCATAATGGGGAGAAGGGGAAAATGAATAATCCAGCAGTAACTGGCTTGGAGATTAACACTCTTAACATTGCAAAAAAGTAAGGTTCTTTTTTAGCAGTGTGCTAAATGCTTGTTTAATGGATGCGTGAGGGTCGTGATGATGCCACCTTGTTGGCTAGACCTGAATAGGACTAGCATTAGATACAACCCTTTGGTACAGACTAAGGCTGTAATCCAAAGTACATCTTGTAGAAAGTAAACTACTTTGAAAGCAATGAGATAGATGAAGGAGAAGCCGCCACCTTTCACTCCTTAATGCTCATAATTAGTTCTAAAAATAGTTGTTGCTTCTTCTCATCATGAAGAGAGATAAGAAGTTTGTGTGTGTGTTTGTAACTAAATGCCTAGGGTCCACAACTATATTTTATTGCAGCACTGTCGCTTGATTTAAGGTATAACTTTAATCAATTAGTTATAATTAATCAAATCTGCATAAACTTGTATATGAGCAGCTGCAATTCAGAAGAAAATAGTGTTTTTCAGATGCTTGCATTGCTGTGTCACAGTGGACCATAACACAAGAGGTATTCCTTCTGTTCTCAGAAGGACTTGGATCTATAAGCATTTAGATTAAAAATAAACAGTTTAATCGGTGCACTTCTTTAATTGATCAAAAAAATCAATTTTACATAATCAATCAACTAAGTGCTGCAGACTTCAACATCTGCTTTTTTAATCTTACCAAAGCCAGCTGCCCATTTTTACTATTTTGGGGATCAAAAACAGGGATAGAAAACATGTTGCCCTTCAGATATTTTGGACTACAACTCCCTTCAGCCCTGACCACTGACCATCCATTTCTGACCTAGTTTGCTTAACGATCCACCGTATTTTTTTCCTGCAGTGAAGAAGCTGAAATCTTTGCTTTCAGATGCAAGGACCACATATATAGGCACTCCAATCCCATGTTTTCATGTCTTGCAGGATACATTTAAAATTCAAACCCAACAATCTTTTCTGGATGTTTATCTTGCTGATGGACGGTATCTCAGAATTGATATTCAGACATCGGATACCGCTGAAAGAGTGCTAGAGGCAAGTAATTTTTAAATGTTCTTTACAGTATCTCATATGGACCAATTCACAAGCATGTTAAGCAATATGTTGCTGTTGTGTCTGTCCAGATATCTCAAGCAAAGTACTAGCTTAAAAAGACACATTTCTTGGTGGCCAAGCCCAAACGAAATGGAGCAATTTGGACTGAACCAGTGATTTCTGGCAGAAAGAACCAGTACAAACAACACCCATAGATAGAATCAGTTTGGCAGATATGTAAGAGCCTTTTAAAACTCATTTTTCATGATGAACGGTTATGAAGAATGTGAAAACTTGCAATATTTCTATTTCATCTCTCTAAACCTCTGTGGGGAAACAGAAACAGATTTATTTGTTGCATTTTTCTAATCCACCCTGATACAAAAGCCATTTCAAAATATTGTCTTAAACAACGTGACTCATTCGTAATCTTGATGGGAAAGTACCTCTCTTTTCTCCCCACCCCCCTTCCAGGTTGTATCGTACAAGATTGAGCTTTCAAGAGAATTAATAGGCTATTTCAGCTTGTTTCTTATTCAAGATCACAACAATGGGGAGCTGTCTGGTAAGAGGTGCATTGTTTGGTATACTAGACATTGCATTCACATTCCTTTCTGTTTGTGCAATGTGGGAAAGCTTTATGGGTGACGGCTGTGTAGAAGCAACGTTTTCGCTGAACTCTGGTTTTTCCTCTTTGTTTTTGGTTGACTTTAAAACCTAAAGCAAAGCCTATATGTTGCATGGAGAGAAACCTTTTATCATATCATAAAAATGCAAGAACTTTTGGTTTGCTTTTGCTGGAAAAATATCCCTTTTATTTCTCTCCTTTTTAAGTTGGAAGAGGTTGGGGTTACTTCACAAGTTACGTGTTTTGCAAGCACATTAAAATGCATTGCATGAAGGAGACAAATGTGTGCTTTAAAAGATGTATATTTAAAAAGTCAACTTTTTTCAAAAATTACCTTCCTTCCCCCTCACCTCTAGTATTGAAAAAACTGGCAGAATTTGAACTTCCCTATGTGAGTCTTCAGAGCATGAAAGAATCGCCTTGTAAGATTGGGATCAGAAAGTGGTAAGCAAGGAAGATGAAGAAGCGGATTTAGCAAGATGCATTAAAATGTATATATATGCTGGAGGAAGGGCAGAAATACAGTATTTCAGTAGTAGCTCTCATTGTAGATATTTCACTGGATCAGTGGCTTTGTTTCGTTTAAATTTTCCATTTCCCTCTCCCTGTTGGACAGGTACATGGACCCATCCCTTGATAAAATGCTTATGAATTGCAGAACTTCAGTGAACTTACTTTATATACAGGTAAGGTTTTTTTCATGTGCAGGTGAGTTCCTTCTAGAAAAGCACTACTCCTGAAATACTATTATGAAAAGAAACTGACTTCTTGTGTTTAAAAGTAGGCATTCATGAACAAGCAGAGCTTCTTAATTCCCATCCATCAACACTACCTGATGTATAATAACAAATAGGTGTTCCCAAAGAGTAGGCTGGCCCAACTAGATGTAAGAGTGATAGATCTGGGTTTAAAACACATCACAGGGGCTTGTTCATAGCAAAAGATTACTTACTTGTGGCTTCTTTCTCTCCCTCCCAGGCATTAGGATTTTACTGAAACCGACATGAGCTTAGCTGGGAGGAAATGTAGGAATTTAAGAAACTTCCTTCTACCAAGTCCATCTAGCTCAGCATGGCCAACACTGACTGGCAGCTGCTCTAAGGTTTTCAGGCAGGAATTCACCATAGCCCTGCCTGGAGAACACTGTGGATTGAACCCATGACCTTTGGCATGCAAAACATGTGCTCTACCACTGAGCTACAGCCCATTGCTCATGAGGAGAGCAACCTCAGGGAGATAAGCAGTGAGTGGTGGAAGACTTGAACCACTCATCACCTGTGTGTACCCCGTTTGTTGTTTAAAATCATACAGTTGTCACAGATCTGAGTTTAAGCATCAGCTGAATCTGCTGCCATCATCTATGGCTTAAGCCCAAGTGAACTTTGCCACAGGTCACTTCAAGTTCTGCCCATAATGTGGGGAAGGGAGGAAATGGGTAATCTAGCAGTAACTGGTTTAGAGATTAGCACTCTAATACTTGCCCCCCCCCAAAAAAAGGTAAGGGTTTTTAGCACCATCCTAAATGCTTGCTTAATAGTTGTGTGAGAGTCATGATATGCCACCATGTTGGGTTGAAATTAAATAAATTGGTGCTTGGCTCCCTATTATTGCAATGCATGTTACAGCTGTTTTTTTTAATATCACAGTTCTATCATGAGAGCTATTTGAGCTGCAGTAATGCAGACAGTTGAACTAGCAACTGGGTAGCTGCTTGCAGCCTAGTAGTACCTGGTGGGCATGGTGGGACTCTAGTGTTGCAGGCTGCTATTGCCACAATTTCTTTGCAAAGTCATGTTGATTGTGCTGCTTCAGAGAACTGTTCTCCACCATTCCTGTTCCCCTTCTGCCATGTCAGAGGGACCTGATCCCACATGGATCAGCAGGACAGGCAATTTGAGGAGCTCATTGGTCTGGTGGTTTGGCTGCTAGACTCTTAAGTCAGGGAGAACAATGCATCGGGGACTTTAATACATACCTTGTTTCTCTTTTTAAGGTTCTGCAGGAAATGGAGAAGAACTGGATCAAGCCTACAGATGGACAGATGCAGAAGCTTCAAATTCTACAGAAAGCACCTAACAAAATGAAGGTAACACAGTGTTTTAACCTTTTCAGTGTGCATGCTGTGATGCAAAGACACCAGAGAGAGCATCTGCTTATAAAGGCTTGCTGTGTTCTTCAGATCTGCCAAGGATTTTTTATTTTATTTTGTAAGCAGAAGAATCTTCTGTCCTCTCCTTGTGTCCCATCCCACCCCAGTTTGCTCAACTGGACCCCAACAGAGCGGTTTGTCAGGGGTCTCAGGGAGAGATGAGGATGGGAAACTCTCTTTCTATTAATCTAAGCCCAGCTGCACAAAAAATTAGTCCCCATTTCACAAAATTTGTCCAGGTGTGTTAGATTCTGCTGACGTTGTTCGTGAAAATTAGCTGAGGCCCATCTAAAGTTTGGATGAGCATTAACTTCCCATGCATGCTACAAATCATGTGTTAGGAGGGAAGGAAGGAAGATGAGCTCTCTTGCCTGCATCAAAGCTATTGCAAAGGTTACTCTCTGGCAAACCCAGACCGGCTTCTACCCATCTGGCTTTTCCTTTAAGCTCTTCCTGCAGAGCCAGGAGATGAAATGTGAGATTGGCTTAGAGAGGGGAAAGAGCAGACCTAGAGACCCAAACCCCTTCTCCCTTCCCTTCTGATCTTTCAACCCCAGAATACTCTATATTAGCACCTCCAGCTCTACCTCCATAGACAGAATGCCTGCTGCGGTATTAAATTATTTCATGGGTGAAAATGCAGTTTGTTATAAGCATACAAAGAAAGGCAACAGAGAAATAATAATTCAGTTTTGCAGAATTTCCTGTAGCATTTGTACAATGACAAACTTCTAGACATGCAAAGCAGGAGTATAGCCTGCAGATCACTTGGTACAAGATTAGAACAACTCCTATAGAGTGCTCCAGATTTAAATGGATGAGGCCTCGAGACTTGCTGCAATCAACACTGCTCATGTGGAATTTTTCTCGCACAAGTGGACTTCCCCTTCCTCTTCTTCTCCCTGTGCACCTCAAAATGCGCTCTGGGGGATCTTCCAACCCCCTGGAGCGGATTTTGAGGGTGCACAGCTGGCTGCAGAAGTTCCATAGTGCTAGCAGAACAACAGTGTTGAGTTCTGCCTTTCTTCTCATGTTCCAGTTTCTTTAAGCTACTGCTGTGCCCGAAGACTTTGGAAAGGAATTACTGATAAAAGCTAATAGTGTCGGGTATTCCATCTGCACTGCCATACACATTTTTCCCAGTGTGTTAATCATCCCCACCTGACATTGACATGTATATTCTCAAATGAGCACTGGGATAATTCCTGCATGGATTTTATATGTGAGACGTGGCCCGCAGTATGTTTGAGGGGGTGGGGGCTTATCCAGATAACAGCAGAGTCCTTGGCTTTCGGTCCCTTGCTGAAGTTGCTAGCCCTCAGTACCTTCCTGCATCATGTGGTACAGTATATAACCCACTGTTGTCCTCCAGTTTCTGTTTCTCTTGCACAGTTTTTAGAGCTGGCTCGGGAGGTCCAGCACTATGGATACATTAAGCTCGCTCCTTGCTCCTGTGACTATCCTGAAGCAGGCTGTACTGCTGCTATTCATGTGGGGAATAATGAGATTAGCTGCTGCATAAAGTTGCCTAGCAACCAGATCAAAGAGGTCAGCTTCAAGATCAACAGGGTGAGGTGCTGGCAGGTCACATTTCTAGTAAGTACCTTGTGAGCAACTTCACGACTTAACCACATTGTTTAATGCTAACTTTCTTGTACTAGATTTCCTTTAAAACTGAGTCTCATGAGAAAAAAAATTCCTAAATGAGAGGGCCTGCCTTGTAAGCAATAACACAAATTCTTAGTTTAGATTTCCTTTATGCGCCTTTCTTGCTGCATATACACATGTTAGGAAGAAGTTGTTCATTGTTAACATTCTGTGTTCCAAATATCATCAACTGTAGACTAAGTTGATACTTCTGCAGTCTTGCCTCACCTCAGATTCCTCTAAACACTCTCCTCTGACCTAGGAGAAAGCGATAGCTGCATATAGAAAACGAGGGATGAAAGTTCTGCTGAGAGTGAACCCATTGAAGTTAGTGGGCATTTCTAACTTGCATACAACAATTTTAGTCAGTCTTCTCTTTAAAAAAACCATTGGAGATATACTCTGAATACTAGTGTAGTGTACTGACTAGGCATCAGTATAGACTGGAGGACCTCTTGACTAATATTACTGCATCGTTTTTTTAAAACTACTTAGGGATCTGTTACAGGCCAAGGCCTTGACCAGTTCCTGGAGCTCAGGTTTGAGTACAACGATTCTGACACCTGGAGATGGATTGCCTTTAACACAAAGCAGGTTTGTATTACATAATACAAATGTAATGTGCATAAAGTACATAAAAGGGGAAGCCTGAAGAGTGAAAAACCATGTACTGTGTGTCTGCTGAAATGGCAGCACCAAAGTTCAGAAGGGATCATTTTTTAGCAGTTAGAGACCTTCTTTGAAGGTGCAATTCCCAATGGAGGAAATCCCTAGTCCATCTGATCCCAGATTGCCCTGCTTGCAGTGGAATAATCTGGAGCCCACTTCAAGCTCCTGACCATTTATTTGTAGCCATATCCATACCTCCCTCACACCTGGCTTCACATATGACATCAGGTATGGCAGGTGGGTGTGGTTTGTGGGTAATAATAGCCTTACAGGGCAAATTGGTACTTGTATAAGGCCTAATTAGGTCTGTGGGCCAGAAGTTCCCCAATCCCTGACCCTAACCCTTGCAGGCAACAGCTCAACAAGGCCTTCCCCGGACATCTTCCTTCATTTTGCTAATGTCAGGGGTTGAAGTTGGGACACTATAGATGCAAAGGATGTGCTTTTACAGCTAAGCTGTGTTCATCCCCCTGCTTTCTTCCACCTAGTATTAAATATAAAGGAAAAGAAGTTGCCTTATATCTGTTACTTATGTATGACAGTTCACAAGAGACAATATCCCCCAGGTGTTACTGTTATATGTTTAGGTTCACATCAGGAAAGGCTTCTTCAGGTTTACTTTCATATGTAAGTCCTGAGTAAATTGAATGATATGGCTAGTGGACTGCAATCGGATAGATTAAGCTGGGGGTAAAAAAACATTCGAACCACAGAGCAAAGCTGATGTACTCCGGAAAGCAGCAATTCTGCATATAAAGTATTTTGTTACTTAAAATCAAAATGTAATATTTATCCCACGTCTAGGCATTTCTCCTAAGCAGCTGCTTAAAAAAGATAATATCGGAGCAGCTGATGACAGCAACCAAAGGTGATCAAGAAATGGTGAGCAAAGTTTGACAATTGCGTTTGCCTGACTGTTGATGTGGGGTTCTTGGCTCCATTGCTCCTGCACGGTGGAGGCCGGGTGATTAGAGTAACTGGGACATTGCCTCACCAAACTCAGCCAGCCCCTACCAGCCTTACTTACAGCCAATCATAAAGTTGCTCTGCCTGTTGTTGGCTTGGGTCTGCTGTTGGTCCCCCTGCCTTTTGTCTTGCCAGCCTCAGTGGGCAATACTGGCTCCAGAGATTCTCACTTGACCCACCCTATGGCTGAAATCATATACAGGCTTAAGAGCAAATCCTACTGAGTTCAATGGAACTAGAAAGTACTTCCAAGTAAACATGCATATGGAATCAAGATGCATACTTTCCATTTTGTAAATGGGAGGCCAAGGAACCTAGTGAGAGGGAAGTTTGCTCAACATTTGATCATCAACCTATAGAACGACACATCCTCTTGGGTAAGGTTCATAAATCATATTCAGGGCAACTTTAGCAATGATTTCTTTTTCAGTAGGGGTGAGTATTGTCTGGTATCTGTAGATTCTAGGCTCACCACAGAAATTGGTTCATTGCTTAAAGGAAAAGACCAAAAAACAAACCCATTGCTTTCATTCACTTCTCCACATATAAATGCCACTGGTGCTTGATATCAAAGGAAATCATGTTCACAAGGTCAAAGAGAAATGTGATTAAAATTGCTGATACTATAGTGCATTTGCCAGTGTCTCCCCTGTGTGAATACACTTGAGTTACATGTTGCCTGCCTCTGTGTGTTTATCTTTCTGCCTAGCAGTGATCTTTACATTTTATCAATCTGTTTTAGCGGATTGAACTTCCTGAACCAGGTAAAGCTAAGAAACCAAGCATCCATCCAAGTCAGGTTTGTGAATTAAATGACATAAACTTGGGTGGAGACCTGAGAGGGGCTGGGACGGGAAAGGAGATGACTAGGGTCCCTAATGCAAGTTGCTGTTCTCTCCTCCTAACCTTGCCACACACACACAATCTGTAATAAGGGGATGGTGACGCTGACATGCCTTTCCTGGTGGTTGTGAGGATTACGGAGCTTATTATTGGAAGTGTGCTTCACGTCATAGTGCTATATAAACAGTTATTATCACTGTGTCATAGAGGCTGCCACTGCTTATGTCTCTTCAATACAATTGCTGCAGTATTATAACTGCCTTCTGCAACCTGGTGCCCTCCAGATGTTTTGGACTATTACTCACATCCGCCCCAGCCAGTATAGGCTGCCAAAACATCTGCAAGCAATAGGTTGGAGAAAGCAGGATCAAAAACCTTGATAGTTGCTGGCTTTCACAAATCTTTTCTTTCCTGTTACGTATCATTAGCATAGCTGCTGGTGGTATTCCCCAACACACAATTAGGTGGTGGTCTACTGGTGTGTGTTTCATGTATTATTGACTAGAGGTTTTTTTGATCTCTTGGTTTAACATATCCTGTATTTGATTCTGTGCAGATATTTCATTCTGGTTTTAAGCCAAGAAAAAAACCGAACGCTAGTAGACCAAATGAGGATGACTGTGTGTTTGAGAAAATACGCGAAGAAGACTTGTGACCTGCACTTCAGCTGCTGCTGCCTCTGGGGTTTTTTTAAATGAGGAATAGCAAACTTATCACAGCAGTTGTCCTCTGTTTAATAGCAGTCTACATTTTCTAACTCCTCATGTATTTTTGTTCTTGAGGTTTTTTTAAAAAAACATCAGCTGCTCCTGGGAACCAGAATTTGTTATAACGGGGAAGACTGTAAATATTTTGCACATATATTTCATTTTATTATTAAAAATGTACAGGACCTACCTTTAAAAAAATGGGAAACATTGCATATCTTGGATCAAAGTAACACCTTTTAAAGTCTTTGACATTAAGCTGTTAATCTTTGGCCTCTGGAATGTTTACCATTGTTCTGTTCCACGGGATACAAACTGTCTCCCTACAGGTCTTCAGCTTAATGATAAATTACACAATACCGCTGAATTTGTGGCAAGGTCTTCCTATGTACAAAGTACATCATCTTACAATGATCCCTACTTCCCTCCAGTACCTGTTTAAATGCAGACATGTCTTTGATTATCTCCACCCGTTCCTGCATCCCAACTGTGCACTGAGTACTGGAATAATTACCCTCAGGACTGTTAGGAATGCTCCAGTTTTAATTACTCCAACATAATACAATTTTGGTCTCTTTTTGTTGTTGTTAACCTTCTATGTTTTGTATGAGTGTTTTTTTAAAAAAATATATGCAAGGTGGGAGATAACTTGTGGTAAACAACCTGTGATTATGTTAAATATAAGCACTGTGAAATTATTATAAATGTCGTTATTTCTTCCCCCACCCCCCCCAAAGAATACACTTCTTAAAAAGCTGAAAATACTGTGGACACCAGGTGTCACTACTACAACTCCCATAACCCCTGGTTATTGGCACCAGATTGGGGAAGGCTACATTAGATCATCCTTTGTCCCTCCACTGCTTAATAGTCGCCTGAGCTTGTCAACTAGTGGAGATGCAAAGTTGGAAAAGTTGCCTTATGGGCTAATCTTAGAATTGTGGAGTTGAATAGGACCCAACGGCATCTAGTCCACTCCCCTGCAACGGAGGCATCTCAACACGTGGCCTGGGTGGCTCAGTTTGTTAGTGTGGTGCTAACGCCAAGGTTGCAGGTTTGATCCCCGTATGGGGCAGCTGCATATTCCTGCATTTCTGGGGGCTGGACTGGATGACTCTCAGAGTCCCTTCAAACTCTAAAATTACATGATTCTATCCAATTTTTGAAATCATATTGGCCCCTGCTGAGGCAACATGGTCTTGTGTTAGACAACCAGTGTGGATGCTAGGGGCAGGTGAAACATCCTTTGGGAAGTGCTAGAAGATGTACGGAGTCAGGCACTGGTCCATCTACACTGGCAAACACCCCTTTTGCAATCCTACCTGGAGATCGAACCTGCAATACAGTGGGCGCTCGGGTTGTGAACATGATCCATGCAGGATGCATGTTTGCAACCCACAGTGGCGCGTCTGCACACACGTGGGTTGCGATTTGGTGCTTCTGCGCAATCGCAAAGTGCGATTTAGCGCTTCTGCGCATGCGTGACCGCCGAAACCCAGAAGTAACCTGTTCCGATACTTCCAGGTTTTGGCGGTCCGTAACCCGAAAAAGAGGGATGCAGGTGGCGCTGTGGGTTAAACCACAGAGCCTAGGACTTGCCGATCAGAAGGTTGGTGGTTCGAATCCCCATGACGGGGTGAGCTCCTGTTGCTTGGTCCCTGCTCCGGCCAACCTAGCAATTTGAAAGCACCTCAAAGTGCAAGTAGATAAATAGGTGCCACTCCGGCAGGAAGGTAAACGGTGTTTCCGTGCGCTGCTCTGGTTCGCCAGAAGCGGCTCAGTCATGCTGGCCACATGACCTGGAAGCTGTATGCCAGCTCCCTCGGCCAGTAAAGCGAGATGAGCGCCGCAACCCCCAAGTCGTCCACGACTGGACCTAATGGTTAGGGGTACCTTTACCTTTAACCCGAAAAAACGCAACCTGAAGCGTCTGTAACCCAAGGTATGGCTGTATATGCGAAGCATGTTATCTATCACCGAGCTAATCTTGTCTCTCGCTAGACACAGCGAAGGGCGGGGGGCGTGTTCTTCTGATGCATAACGTTTCTACATCAGCCAGCCCGCGAGGGGCGCTGCTGGATCGATCTCGCTTTGCACGACGCTCTATCATCTCTGCTCCACGTCGTTTCGCTCCCTGAGTCAGGCAGCGCTGAAAACCCAAAGCGGCTATAGTCTCAACTGCTTTTGCATGCATAGCAATGGTCCGCAATCGACGCTCCAAGAATCCACGTAACCTGCAGAGCGAGAGTCATTGGGAATACAGTACACAGAAACCAGTGTGATACCCAGAATAAGGCAGGCTGGTTAAAAACGCTCGTTTCGTTGATTTTTTATTTTTAATTAAGCATGCCTGCTGTCTCTCTGGGTGTGTGTATCTCACACAAACAGGGCAGGGGAATTGGACAGATACGACAACACTCCTTTTTTCAGGGTTAATTTCAAACCATTCCGCGTACAGCTATAAAAGGTTCCAGTAAGAAACCCCATGGCAGCTGGACAGACTTTAATCCCCAAGAAACCAACTACCCTTCCCTTAAAACACTCCATAAATAAAATAAACTCCAGAAGCCATGCGGGGCTTATTCTCATCAAATTGACAAATTAACATGGTGGAAGTGTGCAACCTATTCTGCCTTGGTCAGACCCCAGCGGGAATACTGTGTCCAGTTCTGGGCACCACAATTTAAGAAGAATATTGACCATAGCTGTCAACTTTTCCCTTTTTTAAAGGGAAATCCTATTATTCCGAATATGATTTCTCTTTAAAAAGGGGGAAAGTTGACAGCTATGGTATTGACAAGCCAGAACATGTGCAGAGGAGAGCCAGCAAGAAGTCTTATGAGTGCTTTGAAGAAGCTGGAAAGCAAGTCTTATGAGTGCTTGAAGAAGCTGTGTATGTTTAGCCTGGAAAAGAAGAGACGGAGAGGAGATAGGGTAGCCATCTCCCCATATCAGGCACCCCCAAACTCGTCCCTCCAGATTTTTTTTCAGACTACAATTCCCATCATCCCTGACCACTGGTCCTGTTAGCTAGGGATGATGGGAGTTGTAGTCCCAAAACAGGGCCGAGTTTGAGGGTGTGCCTGCCCTATATAGAAAGAACCGTCACAGGAAAAGCTTGTTTTCTCCTGTTCTGACAATGGAAGGCGGTGGAGGTTTTTAAGCCGAGATAGGCCACCCTGCGCGGATGCTTTAGCTGAGATTCCTGCCTTGCAAAGACTAGATGACCCTCGAGGTCCTTTCCAACTCTGCAGTTCTGTTCCTCTTCTTCAAAGCATTGCATCAGAAAGGCTTTCCTTCCTTCCAGCGCCAGCATTTGATCCCAAAGCGCTTGCCTCCCCTCCCGAGAGGAGAGTTTCGTGAACTGCAACCGGGAACCGGAAGAGAGAGGCGAGGTCGGGCTCCCTTGCGCGAGGGCGTCTCTACCTCTTTGTCGCAAGCGGGGCCTGCTTTCTGGCGGTTGGGCGCAGGCGGCAGCAGCAGCAGCAGCTGACGACGCCCGTCGAGAGCGAGGTAGGGGCGAAGGAGCCGGGGCTGGGGCGAGGCAGCGCCGGCCTTCTCGGTGGCCGCAGCCGGGGGCGAAGGAAGGAAGCGGTGCTTTGTTGCCCGGCCCTTGAGCGTCGGTGGCCGTGAGGGGAAGGCGGGGAAGAATTGCCACAGAATTGCTGAGGGGCTCTTGCCTGGGGGGGGGGGCGGGGAGCAAACGGAGCCGCCTCTGCGGAAGGAGGTATTGTGGGGATGGGCTGTCTCGTGTCATCGCTACAGGTGGCGGGTTCGGGGCGTGGCCCAACCCAGGCCCCGCCCCTTTTAGAGTTTGCAGCGACGCGCGGGAATTAAACAGGTGAAGCTGTCTCCCCCCCCCCCCCCCGGGCCGGATTTAGGTTTGATGAGGCCCTGAGCTGCTGAAGGTAATGGGGCCCTTTATTATGTCCAGCTGTCCTTTGTCAACAACAAATCGTCGCTGTTTTTTGTGTTGAATGTATGCTATATGGTCATTTATGGACCTAATAGGTTTTTTAAGTCATTTGTACATAAAAGGCTAGCAGGCGGGGCTCATCATCATTTACATCAAAGGAGCCTTTTGTTGTTGTTTAGTCGTGTCCGACTCTTTGTGACCCCATGGACCAGAGCACGCCAGGCACTCCTGTCTTCCACTGCCTCCCGCAGTTTGGTCAAACTCATGCTGGTAGCTTCGAGAACACTGTCCAACCATCTTGTCCCCTGTCGTCCCCTTCTCCTTGTGCCCTCCATCTTTCCCAACATCAGGGTCTTTTCCAGGAAGTCTTCTCTTCTCATGAGTTGGCCACAGTATTGAAGCCTCAGCTTCAGGATCTGTCCTTCCAGTGTGCACTCAGGGCTGATTTCCTTAAGAATGGATAGGTTTGATCATCTTGCAGTCCATGGGACTCTCGAGTCTCCTCCAGCACCATAATTCAAAAGCATCAATTCTTCGGTGATCAGCCTTCTTTACGGTCCAGCTCTCACTTCCATACATCACTACTGGGAAAACTACACAACACAAAACACTGTTGCTGTATGTAGGTCATAGCTGTCAACTTTTCCCTTTTCTTGCAAGGAATCCTATTCAGAATAAGGGAATTTCCCTTTAAAAAAAGGGAAACGTTGGCAGCTATGATGTAGGTTTTATTTTATTTGTTTTTTTATCTTATATTTTGGAAATGTACATCCAGTTTTGTTTTTTCTTTAATTTTTTTTTGGGGGGGCCAAGAGAGTGGGGCCCTAAGCTATAGCTTGTTTAGCTTCTACGGAAGAAGCAGGGATAAATTCGCCTTGCAGCTGTAAAAAACCCCCAAGGCTTGAGTTTGTTTTGCTTATCACAGAATGGTCGAGTTGGAAGGGACCACGAGGGTCTTATAGTCCGACCCCCTTGCTATGCAGGCCTAGGTGCCAACTTGTGGGGCTGAGGTCCCTTCGCCCACCCCACCTCCTACCGCAGTAAAATATTTGAGGGGGCTAACCCCCCCTCCCCACAAAGTTGATCGGCATTGCCATTCAAATAGTGTGTCATGTGATTGATTACGCAGGGCAGCCCTGTCCCCGCCCCCAATATTTTATTTAAGTTGGTAATAATTCAGAGTCACTTTCTCTTTCTTTCATCCCCTTTTCCGTTACTGTCGTCTTTGAAAAGGCAAATTATATATTTAATGTATCTTATTTTGTGCAAGAGCAGGTCTGCACGAAAGAAGATGGTTGTTAAAAAAAGAAATGTAGATGTGCTTTCAGCAACAACTAACTGGTGGGAAAAGGGCAGGCTGCATCCTTTCTTTTGGGCTGATGTAAACAAAATGAAAGTAGGGGTTTGTGGCAATAGATGGCACTCAGCCAAATGTCACGTCTAAAAAACCTAGTGATGTGAGGTGAGAATATTCTCCGGAGAGTATTCTCGAGAATGAGAATTTTCTCGAGAATATTCTCTGCTAGAAAATTGTCTGGAGAATATTCTCCACAAACTGTAAATTCTAATGTAAGAAGCAGTTTTACAACCCACATTTTAAAAAATCTAGTAAATAATAAGTCAAGCTGTGATATTGCCAGTGTAAGTAATGAATAATGATTTTTTTGATCCAGTTACATTACTGGGCATTCTGTCATTGACCATTGGCAGTTCTGCAATGTGAGCTATAGAAAACTTTTTTTTTTTTTTTAGTTTTAAAAATACTATTTATTTAATTTGATGAACATTTGAATTCATATGTATTTCAACTATACGTAATAGCATTTTTTCTATTTTGGTGTGACCTTATTCTTAGCAATTCTATACCCTTGGCCATACAGTGTGATTATTATTTTTTTACAGAAAGTAGCTTTAATGCTTTGTATACTTAAGTACCTAGGGACCTATACAATTATGTGTAACAGCATGTGAGGTGGCCTTGATTTAAACAGTTGACATTTCTGTATTTTTATTTAGTGCCAGTAACTGGTTTTTGCAGTGCCATTCAATGGTACAAGGTGCCATTTACTAAAGACTGACATATTGAACTATATTATAAAAAATGATAATATATTTAATGTTAGGTAAAGGTAAAGGGACCCCTGACCATTAGGTCCAGTTGCGGACATCTCTGGGGTTGTGGCGCTCAAATGGCTTCATTTTTATATGTATGCATATAGTTTTGTTTATCAAGCTGTGTTTTAGTCACCAAAACAGTTATTAAGTGTTAGAGCTATCAGAAGCACAAGATAGCCTATTATTGAATGTACTTGTATTAAACCTTAACATGCCAATTGTATTTTTTGACTTGTCCTATAACATGTACATGTTCTAATGGAAGAATAAAATATCATTTAACTACTGAGTTTCCTTATACCAAACCTTAACATGACAGTTACTGGTGGCCTCACCTTACAATGCATTAAAATGAATATTCTCCTGTTTTAAATGAAAATTCTCTAATCTCATTAATCGAGAATATTCTCCAAAAGATTATTCTCGAGAATTTAACATTACTAAAAAAAAAACAAACAAAAAACCATCCACACATTGTGCTTCCGCACATCCACAGTCAGAGTAACATGCAATTTTATATTGGATTTTCTTCCCTTATCAAATTATCTATGGAACAGGAAAATTCAAATTTTGTGCAAGGTGGAGTGTACGTTGCCACCTGGATGAGGAGAATATAATGCAGATACCACTAAAATAAAATATAGACATAAGCAGCTTCAAGTCCTCATTATTAGTAAGCACTCAGTCTGAGCTCAGAGTATGTGCAGATTACTAAACTCACTGTTTTCAGAAGCAGAATAATTACACGAGTAAACAGCGTATATTTATTCAACATAAGATCTACTGGTATATAGAGGCAGTTTGGTGTGTCATCCTATACACACACACACGTTAGTACCTTACTTGGAAAGCAATGGATTTCAGACTCCCTACCATTGTTAAACCCTTTTCCACACTCATTTGTTTAGTGAGGGACTTCAGCGCTTTGCCGAGAGTGTCTAGAGACAAGCCTGGGTTCAGACAACATGCTAAACCAAACCATGTCTTCACTTGTAGCAGTGCAGGAATTTGGGAGGAGTGCAGTGTCCTTGATTTCCTCTCTCAGAACACCCACATATTTGTGCTAATATGTTGTTTAGATTAGCATAATATGCATCTGAAATAGCATCTCTGATTAGTAGATTGCATTTTGCTAGAAATTCTGATCTTGGAGAAATGTAAAATAACATTGCATTTCTAGGTGTATTGTGCTCAGTTTAAAACTTACAGGGGAATACTGAGCTCTACTTGGTAAGACTCTTCTGTTCTATTACAGGTTTGTACTGGACCACAAAAATATGTGATTAGAACGAATGTCAACAACCTTGTGAGTAGACCACACTTGCCTACTGAAGACCGGATACTTTCTTAATAAGTGAGTATTTAAGATATTATCTTTACTACTTGATCACTTCAGTATCTCAATCTGTAATTCTAGTTTGCAGCAAACATGAGACTGAGCTCTGAAGGGGGGAAAGTTCATCTTCAGCAGGGTGAGCCTGTAAGCATCTAGAAATGCTTGTTTTGCAAAGATGTGATGAAGCCAGAGTTGGGCTTCTTCAGATTTTGGCTGGGAATTAGGCCAGAAAGCCTGACTGGCTTTGAATGAGTACCCCCAGTTGTGTAGCTCATTAGAGTTCTTAACAGTGGGCTCAGTCATACTGTAGTTTAAAGTGGATAGTAAGCTTTCTGTACCTCCATTAATTCTCCGTTGCCAGCATGACATTCTCCTCTAAAACACTCCCTTCCCAGACTTCCTCCCCCCTCCAGATGTTCTCATACCTTCTACTTTTCAGAGTATCCCTGGTATGAGAAAATCTGGATTGAGGAAGCGGAAAGTGTGGGAAGGCAATAATTTGGAGGAGAATGTCATCTGGACAATGGAGAATCTGTGAAAGTACAGGAAGCTTACCATCCACTTTAAATGACAGCATGGGTGAGCCCAACATCACAGACTGGAAATGAAAGCAGCTTTATGTGCTTAGTTTTTGTTCTTCCAGATATAATGGAAGCAGCTGCTACTCTAGAAGGCACTGGTGATCTCTTACGAATTCTGTCTAGTCCCTTTCTTGAAAACTGTTTTGTTTTCAAAGGAGGCTAAATAGACCACAGACCATTTCTATAGATGAATAGCACTTACAGAATAAATATGTTCATTTGACATTTATTTATTTCATAAAATTTATACACTGCTTGATTTGGGGGAAATCCCTCAAACAAGTTTATCACAAATTATGCAGTAATAGCATCCTTTAGAACTGTACTTTTCACGTCTTTCATTTCAGGGTTTGTTTTCTGTATTTGTAGTAAACCATAACTATCTAGAAGGGTTTGGATAAACGCTTTTTGTAATTTATCAAGGTATAAAATGCAAAGCAACATGATGCTGGAAACACAGTCGGTTGGAACAATTTCAACTACCATCACTCTGTATTAAATTCAGGCTTTCCATTGCCGAGCTGGTTTTATTGTATAGAGAATTTAACTTTCAGCTGCTGCAGGACATTGATCTTCAGTCAGTGGGTCAGAACCTCCAAGGGGGTGGCAGCTGTTTTTTTTTTAAAAAAAAAAACAGCTTTGTATAGAAGAAGAAATTTCAGAAGGTGGAGTGTTTCTTATCTCCCTGCCTGATAAGCTGTGCCAACCAGAATTCAATCTGCCATATTGAATAGGGAACCCTGACTGCCTTCTTTACACCTGGTTGGTCCTGATAGAAAAGCAGGAACCTGGATGTATGTGGTTAAAAAGTTGAGAGTAGGCCCTATTTTTCAGGTTGCAGTTAAGGGTCATAGGCAGGAGTCTGCGATTTTTGACTGGCCTTGCTCAGGAGCCTATTTTCTCAGAAACAAGAAGCAGAAGGCTTCGGCTGCTGCTTGACTGTGTTTCTCTGAATGCACCCCCCCTTATCATTTAGGAAATACAGTGGTACTTCAGGTTAAGTACTTAATTCGTTCCGGAGGTCTGTTCTTAACCTGAAACTGTTCTTAACCTGAAGCACCACTTTAGGTAATGGGGCCTCCTGCCGCCGCTGCACCGCCGGAGCACGATTTCTGTTCTCATCCTGAAGCAAAGTTCTTAACCCAAGGTACGATTTCTGGGTTAGCGGAGTCTGTAACCTGAAGCGTATGTAATCTGAAGCGTATGTAACCCGAGGTACCATTGTAGAGACAGGTGTGTGAGGGCTTCAGCCGCTGCTTGGTAGCAAGACTCACAGCTTCTCTGCTGGGCAACAGCTGTAGAGCTTGCCCACCTCACCTTGCCCCTCTCTCCTGTGAGATAGAGAGGCAGAGCGCACTGAGTGGTGATGCTCATAACAATGCCATTGGGCAGCAGCCAAGAAGTCCCTATAGCAGGAAAGGGTGGTGGACTTGCTGGCTTGACCCGGGGCGTGGGGAGCATGGCCAGCTTTTCTCCCAGTCTTGGAGCTGGAAATAGAATTGCCACAAAGCTACCAGGTCAACTCCCACCCATCTCTGCAGCTTCAAAGTTGGGAGGAAACTTGTTGTCACTCAACATGGTCGCCAGAGGGCAGTGCCACACTGCTGTTGTTGAAGATTAGATCGGGGCATCATAGCTCTGTGGAATAACTGCTAAAATCCCAATGCTTGTGAAACAGCTTTTTTAAAAAAGGGAAAAAAGATTGTTGCTATTGTAAACTTGAAAAGTAAGCATAAAAGAACAAGGGGTGGGAAGACCCAAGTTATAGAATATTAAAAAAACAAACACCAACTCTTCACTATATTTGCTTAGAAGAAATAAGCCCAGTTAATTTCAAAGGAACTTGGTTTCATACAAGAGTGCTTTGGATCAGAGTCTTTGTGTAAAATCAGAATGATCCAAATGTTTATTCAGAATTATTGTGTAAAATATACTGGGAATCTGTTTGGAAAATACTGAGTCTTGAGTATCCAAAATCCATATTTTCCTTTCCATAATCCAATTTTTAAGCCTCAAGATAAATATTTAGATAGTAGAACAACACATTAAACAGATTCAGTTGTTCACTTGACTCTTATTCTGGTTGTTTAGTTACCTCTCACATTTCCACAGCTTCAACCTGTATTTTTCCACTTCGGGTTGTGCTTTACTGCTTTTCCTTTACTGACACCCAGTTCAGGATACTTGGTGGCCATGGATGTGGTCCACCAAGCACTATTGTTACATAACTTCCATGAATTCCAACAGATTTTTATTTATTTATGAGATTCCGTACCTGTCCTTTGTTATAAGGTCCCAGGGTAGGTTACAACAACAGACTGTACAATTGTAGAACTCCCTTTGAAAAGGAATGGAGGTTACATAGCATACATCTTTAATGGTTTGCTTTTGTTTCTCTGTCTCTACATTGGGCATTTGATGCACATGAGTTGAATGAAATCTTTGTGTAAATGAAATGTACAGTAGAGAAGGTACCATTTAAAGTTAGTCTGAGGGGGCTGATGTATTCAGGGAGGATGGTATTTTAAGCTAAAACACACCACCGCTGCTTATGTGCTGAAGTTCAAATGTAAATAAGGAACGGATAAATGAGAAATGAAATCGCATTAAGAGAGGTTTTATTTATAGCCCGTATAAGAATGTCTCATCTGCATCACTGTCTCTTATCTGGAGACTGCATAATGTATATCCATGTACCGTCCTTCAGTTGGAGAAAACTAGGCTTTTCAAATTTATAATCATTAGCAATATTTGTATATCACCCAGTCATCAATGATCTCTGGGAAGTGAACGGTAAAATATTAAAACATGAAGCAAAAACAGAATAAAACTTACCACAAAAACTGAAATAGGTAAAATCAGCAATACCCAAGCTATTTAATATGGCAGATTGAAAAGCAGCAACAAATTTTAAAATTAAAATGCCTGGGAAAATAAAAAGTTGCCAGAAGGGGCATAATATGGGAGCTGGGCAAGCCTCTTTGCAGGGGATCTTTCCTTCCCTCCTGATCACCCTTTATATTCTGAAATTAAGCTGCAGAGGTCAGGGAGATCTCTTCTTAGTAAGGATTTACCAACTGTCTGACATTCATCATAGTGACCTGAACCAACCCTCAGAAGCGAGAGAGTTACTAATCCTTGTAGGGGAGAAAAAGGAGTAAAAGTGTTCTCTGTTCAGAATGAAATATGAAGCACTATGGGTGAAATTCAGTGTTGTACTATTATGAACGTTCTGTCTGCATAAGCACTGCAGCTTGCCAGGGGGGTTCTCCCAATTCCCCCCAAGAGCCAATTTTGAGGGGAGTGGAGATGGACCTTGTTGCATAAGCAGAAATCCTTATTCAGAGCTTCTGCTGAGGTGACATGTAAGTTGAATCCTGCACTCTATGTATACAGTACAGTAGTTTGGATCTGACTTCCATGTGATGGTTTTTCTCATTCAGGAAAATAATTGCTTGCTTGAAGTGTTAGCATTGTTTTCACCAGCATAGTCTCACCATTGGTTTCATTTCATTTCATTTTCAACTACAGGCTTGCTGCATTTCCCAGAAACAGACATGTCCTATGTGTTTGTAAACGATTCTTCACAGACAAATGTGCCTCTGCTGCAGGCTTGCATTGATGGAGATTTTAACTATTCCAAGAGGCTCTTGGAGAGTGGCTTTGACCCAAACATTCGCGACAGCCGTGGCCGAACAGGCCTCCACCTAGCAGCGGCCAGAGGAAACGTAGACATCTGTCAGTTGTTGCATAAATTTGGTGCTGATCTGCTGGCCACTGATTATCAAGGTAACACAGCCCTTCACCTGTGTGGGCATGTGGATACCATTCAATTCCTCGTGTCCAACGGGCTCAAAATAGATATTTGGTAAGTATGCTGGAACCCTGTGTCTTGATTTTTAAAAAAAAAATAATACTTGTTGCTTGATAATCTACCGTAATAGGCAGATTGGGCCACACAAAGGAACATGCGAGGGATTTCAGACATGTCAGTTTATTCTTCAGCCTTGCCGGAATAGAAATTCAGCATAGTTCTGAGCTAATGAGCTGCACAAAAAACAAAAGCTGTTTCAGAGCTGACACAGGAGAAACTGGAAAGGTCTTCAGGTCCATTATTATAACTTATAATGGATTTGCTTTTCCTCCCCAATGAGACTGTAGCACGAAGAACTGTGATTCTCCCACATTATGAGCAGTGTAGATATATAACACAGATATATAGCGGTGTTAGATATATAAGCTAGGCACCAAATGGCACCCTAAACCTAGATTACAGTCGACACAACGGAATGTCTGTTCACAAGGGGGTTAGACTAGATGACCCTCTGGGTCCCTTCCAACACTACAATTCTATGATCTCAACTACATTGCTTGACTGTTGACTCTTACAACAATTCACTTGTCCCAGTATGCAAGAAGGAGAAACACATGGTGGAAATGGACATGGGTATTAACTATGGACTAAGGCAGAAGTTTGTAAACTCTGGTTTGTGAGTTTCATTTGGCTGGCCTGTGGAAAGGCTGCAGCTCAGTCAAATATATGTGTACCCAGCCCTGCTCTTACTTTATCTGATGTGATGATGGAGGTCTAAGATGCCCAGCAAGGGGTCCATGATTTGCATGGCAGTGCAGAAACATAGAACACGCATCTTTTGCTGCGCATGAGTCAACTGGCTTGATGGAGATGTCATTTGCCAACCTGGCGCCCAGAGATCTCCATGTAGTCACAATTGGACCACCGCCAGTAACAAAACGTGCCTGGCATCTGGGGAATTTTGAACGCTGGTTATGAGGATGGTTTCCTCAGTACCACTGCCTCTTCTCGATGGTTGTTGCCACTGTCATAAGCCCCTTCCATGGAAGGTAAAAGGACCATCTGTACTGCACATTGTGGTGGTGGCACCATGGAAGCAGTATCAGGCAGAGATTATTTCCAGTGCCTTCCATGCGATACTGTCAGATGAGCACTTGCGCACCTGACAAAGGAATAATGTCTATGGTCATAGGTGGTGTTGGTATTCTGATACAGATCCTTAATGTGGAGATGAAAGACGGAGTCATCTCAAAATAACTGGCCTCATTTCACGACTTGCTGGTTTCAGTGTAAAGAAAAATGTGTTCCCCAGTTCTTTTTCATTGCTGTGGATAACATTGTTTTCCAGCATTCACCTTACCTGCTCCCAGAGCTTGTGAGTCAGTCTTTTCTCTGAAATACTGCATATTTGCTCTGCCAGGCTCCCAGCATCTGTCAATGCCAGTGCCCGGACAGAAACGCTTAATGTACTGAATAAATAAACACATTTAACAATTGTCCCAGAATGGTTTCTTGTTTGAACTATCTGCTCACATATCCTTATTGTCGGAAAACTGCAGCCAGGCTTAAGTCTGTTGTTTTTATCTTTTTGAGCTATATTTTGACATTTTATCTTGTATTTGGCTAAGAGATCTAGAGACAGCACAGTCTTAGTAAGTTCACCTGTACTTTGCATGAATTCAACAAAAATCATCATAATTAACTTTGGGATAGATCCTCTGATAATGCAACAGGAAGCTCTGAAAAAGAATTGGTGCCAGATATGGTACTGACGTGAGGGACGCGGGTGGCGCTGTGGGTTAAACCACAGAGCCTAGGACTTGCCAATCAGAAGGTTGGCGGTTCAAATCCCCGTGACAGGGTGAGCTCCCATTGCTCGGTCCCTGCTCCTGCCAACCTAGCAGTTCAAAAGCACATCCAAGTGCAAGTAGATAAATAGGTACCGCTCCGGCAGGAAGGTATACGGCGTTTCCGTGCACTGCTCTGGTTCGCCAGAAGCGGCTTAGTCATGCTGGCCACATGACCCGGAGCTGTACGCCGGCTCCCTCGGCCAGTAAAGCGAGATGAGCGCCACAACCCCAGAGTCAGTCACAACTGGACAACAAAAATGCAAGAGGAAAGATAATGGGCAGAGAAAAATGTGATCAAACGCAATTATGCAGACTTAAAATAAAATAAAATAAACCTGGATCTTGCAATCCCAAACAATCTCTTAACAGTTGTTTAGGAAAAGTTGCTTTCATTTCCCCTTTTCTCCATCCATTGTCAGTATTAAATTCAAAAGAGTTTTTAATGAATAATAAAATTAAGGAGCTATTTATCTTGTCTACATTGGTGCTCGTTTAGAAAAAAAACTCAAGTAGTAATAAAAACACTGCAATAATGGGCTACTTGAAGGCCGCTTGAAATGCTTTACCCTTGCATGCTTACGCCTCCAAAAATTGCTTTCATATGGCAGTTATAACATTGGGAAATGGCTTTCCACCTGTTTCACCTGTCTCAATTGGAGAGATAGTGTTGATGCTGCATCTTCCAGATGACTGCCATGCTGCGCCTTTGTGTTATTGGATGGAATCGCATGGCAAATGGTTCTGAAATATTACACATCTCCCTCATAATGCAAGGACTGTCCCTAAAAATTGTGATAAAGAAGTCATAGAATTGTAGCATTGGAAGAGATCCCGGGGGTCACCTAGTCAAACCTCTTGCAATGCAAGAATCTCAACACCCGGTCCCTCATCTAATTTGAAACCATACTTAGCTTTGCAAATGTGGCAACAGTTTTATTGCATCTGTCCATGTTTCAAGTAGAAACAGTTCTGTGAGCTCTTTCTCTCTATGCTTAATATAGCAATCACCAAGGTGCTACGCCTCTTGTTCTGGCAAAACGAAGAGGTGTAAATAAAGATGTGATCCGGTTGCTAGAATCTTTGGAGGAGCAAGAAGTGAAAGGATTCAACAGAGGAACTCACTCGAAGCTGGAAACAATGCAGACTGCTGAGAGTGAAAGGTATTGCAAAAAAATCAAATCAGTATTGCTTACTGGTTCAACATAGCTGAATGAGTTCTCATGTTTGGAGCTTGTTCTGCGTATTCAAGAAGGTCAGGGCTTATTGTCAGCGTTTCCATAGAACCTTTACTCTGTGTTTGGGCTTTGGTTTCCAAGTTGATCTTTCAGGTTCTTCGAAAGCTGGACTGCCTGTGTCTTATGTGACTCATGAACTTTGGTAGTCAGCCAAAATCACATATGGTTAGTTCTCAATGAGCCTGTACCATCTCGGATCGCCAGAGGAGGCTCACGTGATCTGACTTCTCCTCCATACCAAAAAGCGAAAACCCTAGATGTAGAAAACTAGATGTCAGGGAGAAAGGTTCTAGCTCAACTTTCTCCCTGACATGTTGGAAAACGGGCAGATAGTGATTTTTGTACGGAGGAGCATTCAGTCATGCCCAAACCAGCCAAACCAGCCCAAACTAGGCTGTAGTGAGTGGCTTCAGCAGTAGAAAGTCTCTGAGGGTCGTTTTGTGTTCTGTGTGACAGACCTGCTTTTCAGTGTGTCCATTGTGTGTCTTTCAATGAACGCTGTGTTACTGGAAAGGGAGAAATACACAGGAAGCCTCAGGCACTTGCTGCAGGTTGCAGTTGTCTGACTGGTGCTACACACTTTCCGTAGCCTTTCTGTGGTAGGCAAGGGAGCAAGGGAGCTCTCACTTCCACCATCCCTGCTGTTTTATGCAGATAGGCCCCTTCCCAGCTGCCGGGGCGGGGGGCAAGTTGAAAATACTATCTGCCTTGGAAATGTATGTGCTTCATATTTACAGTGAAGCAGCTGGAATATTGATATAATCAGGTTTTCATCCTGAAAATTATTTTCAAGTAGAAACTAGGCTAGACTTTTTAATGCCCGTCCTCCAATCCTTATCAGCACATTGGGAAAGGGGAACAAGATCTTTATTCCTTAAACATTTTATGGGTTTTTTCAAGATCCTCTTACGCATTAAGTAAATCAAAACGGTGGTTTTCTTTGCCCGTTCTATAGGAGATGCAGCCCACCTCTTCCATTTAAGAGGTACCTTGAATTCTAATCGAGCTTTCGTTTGCAAATCAGCATTGTGCATCTAATGCACTTAAACGTAATCCATTGCTTCCTTATCCCCTATTTCCCCCCCATGAAATAACTTGGCAAAGAAAAGTGTCTTATTGAGCTGCAAATATCTAAACAATGTGCTGCCCAGTGTCCCTAGAATTGCTCTACAGTCTTTTAAGTACCATCTTTTTATACAGGACTTTTCATGGCAACAATAGGTATACTTAGGGCTCAAAGGTGCATTTACATTTGTACCCTTTGTGGCTGAATAGGAAAATATAAACAGAAGACTGCAATTAGGGTTTGATTCTTTGCCTTATCTCCTTCCTGCTTTCTTATTTCACCAAATTAATTGTTCCTCTTTCTCGTTCTGTTAGCAGTTGAAGCTTGGATTCCCAACTACTCTCACCCTTTTCCTCTAGTGTGGAGTATGATTGGAGGCATTTTAACTCTGAGGATGTGTTCTCCTTGTGTACTTAGCCTTAGCCAGACCCGTAACTAACGGCCAACCACTGTGTTGGTAGCAACATCTAACAAAAATGCAGCCTGCTTTTCTTAGCAGCAGAAACAACATCTGGGATTCACGTCACTTCCCAAGTCCTTCCAAAATAGCTGGTATTCCAGCACTTCCTACCATTTTAGTGCCGAGAGTTTAATTTGGTGGTAATGGAAAATAACACAGGTGGTTTCTCGGTGAGCCTTTTTCTGTTTTCAAAGAAAGAGGCCTAGTTTGTTTTCAGTAGCCATGTGATCTTTCCACTTAAAATACATCATACCTTTATTTAACCTCTATAGTGGTTATAGATTAACAGGTTGAGTCTTAATTAGTAAGCATTCCTGTTGTGTGTTAGAGGAGTTGATAACAAGGGTGAAATGGCTTGGATTCTGCAGTAGCAAACACACCAAGGTTCTTTCCAGGGAAGTAAATGTTTAAAAACAAAAGTAGGGAATTATATTACAAATAGCAGGTGCTTTCTGTCTGTTTCTCCTCTGAGATCCTGTGCATGTGTTCTGCCATGGAGCAGTCGTGTAGACTGCATAGTGGCAGGAGCAGGCCTAGTCCCCTCACTCCATGATCCTTTACCAATGTTTTAGAAGTGTCTGTGTGCATTTAAGTTTCTAACCTTTTTCCTTTCAGAAGTCTAAAGAAAAACCCACACTCTACCCAGTTACTTGGCAAGCAGTTTATGTACTCCCACCTTCTGGCCAGTGGATAGCCAAATATTCTCATTCAACTTTCTTTAAAATTCAGGAGGTGTAATTAGTACCTTTTTTGTGTATCTTTTATGGCTGATTGCAACCACTATTCCTCCTCCCCTGCTGTTCCTTGGGACCATCTTTAGTGGTGATCCCAGCCAATCAGAAATCAGGTCACTGAATGTGATGAGGTTGCAGTGCCCTCTCAAACTCCTCCCCCCGCCCCCATCCACTTGAGATGGCCAAAGATTACTGGGGCCCACTCTTCACAAAATGGTGGCACATGGAGGCAGAGTTTGTCATACTCGGCTGGCAATTATTCATAATGATTTTACTGCCATCTAATCTATCTTTGGAAATTTCTTTGCCACATCATTTTCCTTGTGACAAGGAGTTCCATAACTCAGCTTTCCTCAAACTAAGTACAGGCATTTGCTGTGCAGGCATTGTGACTCAGACTCCCCATTTTAGGCAGAATGTGTAGACCTAGAGCATCTAAGTGCAGAAAGCTTTTTCTTTTATATGTTTTCCTTCCCACACCATCACATGCTTCGTTGCCCATCTCTTGAAATATCTACTCCCATTCTCCTTTCACTCTCCACTTGTACATTATTCCCACCCCCAGTTTTTTTCATCCCTCCTCATTGGTCCTGTTACATTCACTTCTTTCTCTTGCAATGATGTCCCTCAGTTTAATTGCTGAGAGTCTCTTTACACAACCAGTGTTTACGACATTTGGTACAGGGCTGCATCTGTGAAGGGAATATCAAACATGTTTCCATTTAACATGCAGCAGGTCTGTGTCAGAGACCAAGGCTCCTTGTGCAGTGTATTGTGTAATAGCATATATTTTGTAAAAACGGTTATGTACTTTTGGTTAAACCATAAACAGAATTCACTTGGTGTGGGTTTTTTGGTGGGAAATACCACTGTAACACTCTTGTAGTTTTGGCAAACGCAGCCAACCAAAGTGTGAAGCAGCCTGGTCATTTTAATCTGGGCTTTCCACATCCAAAACCCAATCTTAGCTCAGTAAGCCGTTGGCATGTTGCTTGCACAGTTAAGTCAATATTAATGTTCTGTGGTTTGGAGTTTTCGCTTGGTGCATTAACCTTAATTCACCTGTGCTCCTTTTATAGCGCAATGGAAAGCCACTCGCTTCTCAACCCCAACCTGCAGCAAGGTGAGGGAGTCCTCTCCAGCTTCCGAACCACCTGGCAAGAATTTGTGGAGGACCTTGGCGTCTGGAGGGTGCTGCTCTTGTTGGTGGTCATTGCTTTGCTCTCTCTGGGGATTGCATACTATGTTAGTGGAGTTCTTCCTTTTGTAGAAAACCAGCCCGAACTCCTGCATTAGAGGCGACGCAGACAAAGAGTGCCCTTTCCATTCTTTTTATCTTCTCAGTCTGTTTTCTTTGGTGCAGGTGGCAGCAGCTGCATGTATTGTTGTCCTTGACATATATACATATGTTCCTTTGTAGAGAACTCCTTTTGAGCAGGGATGCATTCATTTTGACTAAAGGTAATCCTAAATCAGCTTTCACCAACTTGGCACCCTCCACATCAGTGCTGGCTGAGGCTGATGGGCATTGATGTCCAAACCAGCTTGAGGGCAACAGGGTACCATTCACACTATGCGCTGACGGCACATGGCTTCCCCCATAGAACCCTGGGAACTGGGTTAAAGGTGCTGGAAATTGTAGCTCTGGGGAAGACAAATTATAGTTCCCATGATTCTTTGGGGGAGCCAGTGACTGTGATGGTGGTGTAAGTGTGCTTTAAATGTATGGTGTGGATGCATTAAAGGTTACCGAAGGCTGCCTTAAGCTACCTCTAATGAGTCTTGGCTTTGAGTAAAATGTCGTTACTAGCAGTCTCTACTGATAACACACAAAGGTATTAAATGCCCCTGAACAGTATGACAAATTGGATAGGATGATGGATATCAGAGCAAGTCATCACTATTTTATTGGACCACATCTGTCCTTGTGGGTGCTTAATAGTGTTAACTTTCCATCAGAAATATGCATAGCATAATACTGCAAGGGCACTTCTTTCATCTAAGGGTGCTTTTTTGTAAAGTAGGCTCACTTCCATAACATCATTTCCTTACATTCTATTTGAAATGTTGTCAGTCTTTCTGTTTATTGGTTCAAGGCAATCAGCTAGTTTATTTAGAGTGCACAATATTAATATTAATGACATTAACTTGTTTTGTTGGTTGTGGATGAAAACATCTTCTGACTTTAAATATGTTGAGTGGGGGTTTTTTCCCTGTAGGGGAAGCCATTTTTTCTCTCAAAAGCACACAAATAATTTTTAATATGGCATTCATTTGCTGTATAATTCGAAGCATATTTGTGTGTGAGATGTTAGTCTGTTACATTCTCGTTAGGAGCTAGAAAGTAATATTTATCTCACTGAAGTTCCATTAGAAGGCAGGAATGTGAAAAGGTTTATAGTTTTTCAGATAGCACTTAAAAGCTAATGGGATGCCTTCTCTGCTAACATGATAGAGAGCTAACACAACAGAGAGACACTCAAGTGTTTTAACATTTTAATATATGGGATCATCTGAAAGCTGTCTCAGTACTACAGTTTTGAGGTCCTTTTACCAATTTATATGAGATTTCATTAATACACTCTTAGAAAAATTGTGTAACTATTTAGTAAGTAGTGCAGATATTTTAAAGGCAATTTGGCAAGAGTTTTCTACTAAACAGAATGGGTCGTGTGCTCTTACACACACAATTATAAGAGGGAGAATAATGGTTCATTTCTCTGCTTGGTAAGCTACAATCCATGTAAATCCACATGAGTGAACAGAAAATAAACATTTTTAAACTCAGAAATGGAAGGAAATACTAGGTGAGTATATTCAGGGATAAGTGCATTCTCTGTGTTGTTGTTTTCTTTGGCAGAAGTCTGAAGACAGTGGTTCCCCTGCCCCCTGGCAACGTATAGGCATCTAATCTAAATGTTTTCTTGAAGGATTCTTCAGTTAAAGGTAGCATAAATGGTAAGCTCTCTGCACATGCATGCCAGTTTTGGAATCTTCTTGGTGTACTGTACCTGATCTGAAAATGATCCAGCCACAGTTAATTGCTTTTAAAGACTCCATTTGAGTTTGAAGAGAAAATTCAGCTTGCGTTTAATTCTTTCATGGAAAAATCACTGGATCATTTTTAGATAATATACAACAAATTGGGAAGGCTCCAATACTGGGGTACAAAGTAACTTCTCAGCAGTTAATTTGATGTAGTCATCAGTATTGTTTCACTACAGATTCCCTTTTTATGCTTCTGTAATAAGCTTTAATTGTATTTTAAGCATGATTAGACGCTTTTCATAAATGTGTATAATCCAACTGTGTGCATGTAAATTTTCTGTACTGTTTTAGACCATAATAACCATGCAATCTATGTACTGTCTCTGGATCAGTTCTGCACACTGGATGTTTTGAAGTATGTATTGCAGACACAGATATCTGTAGCGTTCCTAACTCTAATAAATAGGTTATTAGAACATGGTTGTTTTGACTTTTTAATGAGGTTTTATGCTTATGGCTTTATTATGTTAATGCAGTTAGAAATGAATATAGCAGCTTCTAATCTGGAGGAATCCATAATGCTTCCAGAGTATGTCCTGAATACAGATGAAATGAGATTGCCTGGCTGACACAGTGGGCAACAAAGAACTTGGATCAAATATACCAGGCAAATCCTAGAGAGGCAATGGATTCTTTTAATGCACCTGTTATGATATTTGAGACCCGTATGGAAGTACCAGCAGTGTGAGTAGTCCTCCCCCACCCCACCTTATTTTTCAAGCGAGTGCACTAATCTGCAAGTAATCCACCCATTGATAGGGAAGGATGGAAAAATGAGTTTATTTGCTACGGTATAACCCTTTTGACATATAATATGAGGCATGTTTGCCTTATCACAAATGAGGAGATGGACAGTAAGTTTCCCCCATTATTTGTATCAGACTGAGGGACTTCCCTGGGAACCTTTGGCTCTTAAACCCTGAGAACTTTTGGTGTTACTTAAATAGAAATGCAACTTTCTATGCTTCATGGTTGTAAGATCTGGAAAAGAGAGGCTGCCCTTCTCAAGCCCTACCTCCAATCTGTAACTGGCACTGGGTAGTATATATTTGACTTAAGCTAATATAGTTAGCCCGAAACTTACGCACATTTAACTTGTGCAAATTCAGCTTTAAGCACCTTGCAGGGAAAAAAGAATGAATTAAAAAGGGGGTGGGCATCCAGGAAGAAAGACTTGGGCAATTTTGACTATATGCAATTTTGGCTTCAGGCACGATCCCCAGAACGTAACCCCTGTGTAAGTTGTGGGCTTACTATAAATATTTGCAGTCAGTGATAGCTAGCTGGTTTTAACACTGCCTGTTGAATCATTCAAATAAAAAAATGTGCTTTTATTCCCACCCCATTTAATATAATGCAAATAATTGGCTACCTTTCCCAAGTTCTCAAAGGTTTCCATCGCCTTCAGTCCACTGAATTTAATCCACTACATCCTATGGGTCCTTCCTCTTCTGCATTTTTTTCCTGCACAGCCAGCATGGTGGGAGGGAAGAGAACATTTAGCATTCTTTTTGCTGAAGATTGAGACCGGGTTGTAAGAAATCCCTGCCTCGAGGAAGCCAAATGGAGATTACAGCCACACTTGGTCACTGTTCTGATCTCTGTCCATGCAAAGTATTCCCAATGCAGGAGCTTGATTTGCATCCATCTTAAAGCTTTAGAAGAGTTGTTTGTTACTATGACAACGAAGAATTAAGCAACTCAGGCATACCTTTGTCATGTCATAACTATATTGGGCTTTAATCATTCATAGAAGCAGGAGTGCCAAGGGCTGCTGGATTCAGGTTTTTCCCATGTAAGTGTTGATTTGTGGTTCCTATAATACTAATTTGGTTTCCTTGAAACCCTGGAAGATGTTGCCTGGCCTTGTATTTTTTTTTCCTTCGTGCTGCTTTAAGAGGTATTTATATCTTTCAGATTCCTAAGAAAAGCCTCTTGCTGTCGCATTATAATACTTGTTTTGTTGTACAATACTTTCCAAGGAAACGGCAGTCTCTTGCATTTCTTACGTTAGCAGCACATTTATGTCACGTGTGTGTGTGTGTGTGTTCTTTTTGTTTTCAAAGGAAATGAGAAAACTCTTTCCAAAATAAATTCCTGCTTTGAGTCAAGGAATCCGAACACTAGTTTTCTTTCTTGGAGGTGTTTTTCAAATGAAGTTACACTCCTCCAAATGCCTCTCTACCACATAGCTTTCTGAAAGATGTTTTGGTGCTGCTAAGAAAGGCTAGTGGGTTCATTCCTTCCAGGATAAGAGTTAATATCTTTGGCAGAGGACGTCCCTGTATAGCTCTCCACAGCAGCTGACCTGCCTGGCAGTTATCATTGTGAAATGTTTTCAGAACACACACTCGGAAAACAGATGTTCGTAGAGCAGAGGCTGAGAGTTCGGCAAGGTGGAAGCTGGAAGAAGGAGAGGGAGAAATCTTATACAGAAATGGGAGCGGACAATGGAGAGCACACTTTGACCAGGGTTTTGACTTGGACCACTCAGCCTTGCCAATCCCATTCCTCATTCAACTCCTAATCCTTTTCCCATTTATGGTGCTTGGTACGAATCCCTGGAACAGCGGATGGATTGGGGTGGAGTGGAGGAGGATGAAAAAAGCAGTTAGTCAGAACCAAGTCTTGTGGTCACAGATTCCTTGTACCTGGACGAGGAAAACGTGCATGAGATCTGAATTGCTGCTAGGGGAATAGATTAAATACGTTTATAAATATGTGTCCCAGTGTGTGTTTTCCATTTTAATACTAAGGTATTTATTAGAACTTGAACTTTATTTACAGCTGTTTGTTTTGAAATAGTGCCATATTCAAATAATGTCAGCTGATGCTTCTTAAATTCTGCCTTCCCTTTTCTTTTGAAGGGAAGGCAGAATCCATTAGATCTTCCATTAGATCTTCTTTTGATCTGTTGATCCCTCAGCTAAACATGTGAAGCATAGGCTTTTGATCTGTTGATCCCTCAGCTAAACATGTGAAGCATAGGCTCTGCAACTGTTCTACAGTCATTCTCTAGTCATTCTAATGAGCTTTCATCGCAGAACGACCAATAAAGCAGAATAAATCCATCACTAGCGCACTATTATTGTGTTAAGAAGTTGTTGGAGAACCCACCTGCAATAAAACACAAGTCTGGAGGAACTCCTAAGAGTCCAGGTTGTCCTTCAGGAAATCTCCAGTCCCAGGGTATGGTGTGAAGGGACACGTGAGGCCACAACCCCTCTGAAGCTAAGCTGGTCAGAGTC